CGAAAGGTGGGGTACACATGGAACTGGTCACGACACACACAACCACTTTGCCCATTCATATTTTCACTTATGGGCAATTAAGAGTTTGCAGATAAACCAACATGCATGGTTTTGAGATGCAGGCGAAAGGACTGTCGGCAGAGATTTAAACCTGGCACCTCTGGACTGTGGGACAGGTGTGCCAATCACTACTCATTGTAAAAGAAATTTAAAAAAAAAATAGATCATAAAAAATACCAAACTACAGTTTCATTTGTTTTAAAGAATTACATATTTACTAAGATGAACAGAAGAATAAAATGCGAGCTATGACTCCTCAAATTTCGGTCATCTTGAAGAAAAAAAATCAAATATACATCTACAGTTAAGAACAACATCATTGGAAATGCGTGCTTTACAGTGTCATCAAAGCTTATTTATCTGTGTCCACTGAAGTCAATAGTCATTCCACAAAAAGATAACATGAGTCAAATTCACGCCATTGATTTTTTTTTTCACAAAGTGTTTTAAAATTTGCATTTACAGTAATACCTTTAATTCTTGTTGAAAAATTGTGTGTACAGTACCCGTAAGACTTTGAGATTGAGAATTACAGTGGCACAACATACAAATCAAAGTCAAACCATGAAAACAAATCATTTTACACTTAAACCAATGTGTCTACAACTATCCAAAACTCTGTTTGTAAGATGATTATACTGTCAAGTTGTATTGCTGTCATTGAATGAAAACATAATTTCACTTTTTTTTTCTAGGGTTGATGGAGCTTGTTAGCGATTCAAGCAAATGACAATGTTTCTGTAATAAACCTGATCTAATTAGTGATTTATGTAATGAATTCATGTTGCGTGAATAACATGATGAAATCTATCTGCTCTAATATTGGGAGAAAAAAAAAACCTTGCCCATGTAACATAATTACTGAAATGGTTGGAAGACCATGCAGCATTCTAAACCAGCGAGCCAGTAAATGAGTGTGTGTCTATATCCTTGGAGGGTTAATTGTGTGAATGGAACCAAGACTTTAGTCCGAGTGATGATGTGCTATGACTGAGATTCACATAAGCGGAACTCTGCAAATGTGTGTTTCAATAAATACGTTGAAAAGGCTATGAGCAATTAGGCTTGTTCAATCTAAGTACAGGTAATCAATTCTTAACCTTGTGTTGATACGCTATCTCAGTGGTGCCTTTTTATCCCAAGTGCCCCCGAAAAAAAGACTTGTCTCTCCCAAGTACCACCAAAAATACCAACATTAAAATATGGTAGTGTACTAAACATAAGTGTTCACGGCCGAGGTTGTATATCGAATATGGGCAGTCTGACCATTAAAGTTAGACCATGGTTGTCATTTCTGTTTCCCCTGAGGCTGGAATTCTGAATTTCAATCAATATTATGAAAAACAATTGGTTGATGCAAACCTTGATGTCATAAAACAATGACATTTGTAATTTTCAGCAAATTTCACAAAATTGATATTTTTTACAACCATTTTACTCACCTGCTAAAAGAGAAAGAGAGAAATGTTGCCCCACCCTCGTGACTACTTTAGTATGAAATAACAAAGACGCAAGTGTCAATAGTAATGCTACACCTATCCCACTGGGAGGAAATTATGATACACATGATTTTAAAAAGCTACCAACACTCCTGTGCAAATGCCACGTTTGTGACATAAAACTAAATGGAACAAAGATATCTCATTTGAAAACTTAATTTTTTCCCCACCATGAATGTGATCTATAAACTGTACCACCCACGTGAAAGAAATGAAACTTTTCTCAGAGAGGAAGAATAAACAACTGAGATAATGTGGTTGCACAAGTGTACATACCCTCTGAATAACTGGGAATGTGGCTATGTTTCACCAATTACATTCAAAGTCATGTTAAATGTGAGTCAGCCCACACCTGCCCCCACTTACAGAAAAGGAATTCTAATTAACCCCAAATAAAATTCAGATGTTCGAGGAGGCTTTTCCTGACATTTTTGCAGTCACACTTGATCACAAATCCCGGTCTGCAGTCTGCAGAGCGGTAACCGTACTGTAAGTAATTCCAGCTCTTGTTCAGGAACCATCAGGATGAAACGCAATCGCAAATTGTTGAGTTTGAGTTTGTATCAAGATGTTTTCTCTTCATTCCTCACTGTCTTATGTCTGCTGGTCTGAGCTGTCGCTCACCCTCAGCCAGGAATATCTGCATGGCCCTGTAGAGCAGATGGACACCCAGCTCGCGCTTTTTCTTCAGCTGCCAATTGGACACCACACCATAGAAATCTCCGCGCTTCAGGTTGGTGAGCATCTTCAATCCTGTGATACGAATAGCGTTAGGAAAGGAGGGAGGTTGACAAACTGGATTTCATAACTGCTTGATGGGGTATGATTTGCATATGACGTGAGAGTAACCTTGACTTTTTTTTCCCACCAAAACGACAGCTACATTCTAGTAACTTCCATAGTACCTTCGGTGATTTCACAAATTCCCACCCTAACGGACACTACCCGAAACCAAGCACCTCTTAATAATTATCGGCAAAGGACATACTATGGAAATCTTGATTATGTCACACATGAAACAGAAAACAGTTTCTTCTTTCACTTACCAATGGCCTCTACCATGCAGGCCTCTCTTGTGTAGGCCTCCACAGGAATGACGTTCTGGAAGCAATGCAGTGAGATGACCCCCTGCTCGGCGTTCCATATCTGAAGTATTTGCTGCACTTTGGGGCAGAGTTTCTATCATACAGTTGACAAAAAAAAAAAAGTTAAATCCATGTAGTATTTTATTTATATTTCTAATAGCGATGAAAGTGTCAGCAACTTTTTAACTCCTGCATATAATGTACTCAACATTTTAGATTAGTGAAATGATTCAATATGCAATTACAGTATACACATCGGAGTAATTGTTAGACTTCACCTTTGAAGTCTTATCGCCTTTGTAGTACTCCAAGGCCTCGTAAAGATGACTGTAAGGGCGTGAGCGTTTTCCTTTGCCCACATAGAAAACGGCATTGACAAATGTCTGGAAACAGTCCTGTAGGGTCATGCCGTGACTACGACACGGAAGATTTTTGGTCACTCTGACGGAGGGAGAAAAAGAAAAAAAAAAAAGTAAATTAATTAAATTAAATAGTGTAATTTTGTTACTTCATTAAATCCATCAGTCAGGTAAAATGGCAAAAGAGGTTGCACATGGAAGCAAAAAAAAAAAAAAATCTGGTCGCACATGAAGCTAAAAAAAATCTGGTCACACATCTCACAGGGAAACAGGAGTACAAGATGAAAGACAGCCCCATCCTGTGACCAAAGACGGGCTGGATTTCAAGCAGTGCAAGAAAGGACAGAAATTAATTCGACAATAGCAATTTACCCATTTCGTGTCATGCAGGATGTCTTGCATTTTAGCACATGGTAAAAATTGCAGTCTGGCTTTAGAACATGAATCTTGAACATCACCTTGGATCGAGCAGCAGGTAATTGAAGCTGGACTTGATATTGCCCTCTCTCCATTTTCTGTTCTGATCTGGTTGATCAAATTGTTGGCACAAGGCCTGCTCATCCTCCTGACAGTCGGGCAGCTTGAACGTTCGCAGGGCCAAATTCAGCTCTGCGCTATAACCTTCACGTCCTGCACACGGAAAGAGGGACCCAAAAACAAGATTATTAGGATAGCTCGAATAAATGAAACCGAATTATTTTTAAGTCTGACACTACCGATACCTGTTTGTGGCTGTTCTACTTGATCTTGGTGCTGTGATGGTTTCGAGTTAGACCCATGCAACAAGCGGCGCAGCCTTTGAATGTAGACTGGCCTGGTTCGACGACTAATGGGTCCTGGACTTTCTCCCACCTCTATGAGCCTCCGTCTGAGCTCCTTATCCGTCATCCCTTCCGTCTCCAGCAACAATTTACACTGAACCTCATTGGCCTTCTTGTCATTGGGGCCTTCTGGTGGCTTCTGGTTTTCTTTGCAGTCTGCTGTATTGGTCTGCATGGAGCGCCAGTCATAGAGGATGGTCTCCTCACTGCTCGTGGTACTGATGCTGGAGCTGTGCGAGGTGTTAGCGCTCGGTGGAATGTGGGCCTCAATTAGTTTGTGACCCTGCTCCGTATCAGTGTAAAGGTACTCCACCGGTTCATCTGAATTCTCAATGTGCGGACGCCCCCCAGGAGTGTAAGACAGGTTGGCCAGGTGCTGTGACTTGCGGTGAGCCGATAGCAGACTCATGCTGTATCGAGGAGTGCATCCGGTACCTGGCGTGCATGGAAGATCTGAGCTTTCCCTTGACTTCCTTGGGGAAAAATAGCTGGAGCTGGATGAAGACGAGACAGATTCTGTATGCGAGCTAGTGTCCCCTGTGATCCAGACGTCATCTTGCTGTTGGCAAGGTACTTTGGGAAAATCGTTTGCCTTCTTTGTTGCCTCATCTGTACTTGTCACGTCATCTGTCAAAAAATCCTTACCTTCAGAAAGTCCAACCTCTTGTCCTTGTAGGGCCTGGATGACCTCTGCAAGATTTCTTTCGTAGGAATCCATTGAGGATTCGTGATTTTCCTCTAAGATAACAGTGTCACAAAGAGTCTGTGACTCAGCAAATGTGCTACAGATGCTTTTGGGAAGGATGAGGGTATCAGCTTGGCTCGATCTCACACATGAACCTGCTCCGAGGGTGCTGGACGGAGTGCCTGGATAATCTCCGCACAACGAATCTGGTGCTGTGCTATTATCTGAATTGGACGGTATGAAACATGGAGAACGTGGCGAACTGTAGTTGTTTTTCTGAGATCTGGGAGTTGTGTGCCGAGTTCGCACTGGTTTAGGAAGCGTCTCCTCAAACAGGCAAGAAGTGCGAAAGAGGCTCTCAGGGGTTCTGCTATTTCTAAGTGAGCAGCGGCTAAGCCTCGACTGTGTCCGGCCTGTTACGAATGGACTTGGTGTAAACGGTTCTTTGCCTTCTGATGGGTTATCTGATTGAATGTCTTCCAACAGGTAGTTTTCCTCACTTGAGGTAATTCCATCAGGATCAGTGCGAGCCTTAACCACGTTAGTCCTTTGATAATTATCCTCAGTCGGGCTCAGTTTATCAAGTTCAAAAACATCAATTCGAGGTTCACTTTGAGCTTGTGGGACGTCTTCTTCGGGGCGTTTGGTAGTTTGGTCAGAAAAAGAAAGCCGTTTGGGGGGCACGGAAATATCCAGCGCGCTGGCGTAATGGTCACTTTCACAACTACCATAGCTACTGCTGCCTCCGCTGCTACTGCTGGGCTTACTTGGATGTTCCGGCTGTTCTTCTATGTTCCCTAGAGCTTCATTTACAACCTCATCCCCCTTTTTATCATCGTCTTCCGAAGCACACTGACTGATGACTGTTTTCTCCAAGTCGTCGCCTGTACTTTCACTACTTTCCCGGCAAAAAACAAAGACATGGTCTGGTGAGGTGACATCTATGCCCTGCTGCGGGAGAACTGTTGCCAAACGTTCGGAATCGAGAAAGCCAGAATACTCCGAAAGGTTGAAAGACATGATGCCATCACCCTGCGTATCCTCAACAGCCGCCATCTTTTTCGGAGATTCAGGAGTGAAAACAGGAAAATATTCGTCAACATCACAGAAGCTGACACTTTTACCGTTTGCTCGTCTGGAGAGAGATCTGGGAGGCGAGTTGATTTTGGCAGTAGCAATTTGTCCATCCGCCGTGGGTATATTAAGTACAGCTCCTTCTGACAAGAGCACATCCTTATCAGCAAACACATCATTTCCCTTTGGAAATGGTATTGTGGGTCCCGCTGTGGACATCCGTGTGCTTGATAAAAAGGAGGCCTCTTCAGACGGCCAGTGTAAGAAGGTGCTGGAGTTCGGATTATCTTGCATTTCAGTGTCTCCATCCAAGAGTCTGTTACACATGAATGCTTTGCAAGATGTCCTTCCATTTATGTTTGAACGGTTAAAAAATGAAGACCGCCTCGTGCTGCTTAAAGGGACTTCACCAAGGTCACTTATCACAGATGACTGGGACGTGAAGCTGTAGCCACGGTCAGGAAAGCAAGATGTGTCTGTGCAGTCAGAATATACCGCTATGAGGAGATACAAGATGAAGAGAAAACTGATAAATATCACAGCAGAGCTCCTTTTTTAACAATCTAATGAGACTTTGTTGGTGCTGTGTTTTGTGCGTATTACTGCTGTTATCTAATGGCAAAACGTGTTCCATACAAAAGTTGTTCCTGGAGTAGATAAAATAATGGTCATGGAGAAATGTTTCCTATGTATTTTGTATTTTTGAGTAAAGTTCTGTCATAAAAACTATTTAAATGTCCCAAAACAATGCAAGCCTTTATCATTTCTTCACCAATTTTTGAGAAATTGCTTTTTGATAAAGGTGATCAGTTCGGTGGAGAATCAAAAGACTGTCGTATCTTTTTGGAGTCATTGTGCGATACCACTTGCATGAATGAGCTGTCGACCAGCGAGCAGTTTTTGCCAGATTCAAACTGTCAATTGACATCGGCCATCTGTGACAAGTGATCAGTCGAATTGGTTGCTGGATAGAGAATCAGTACAAAAGATGCAGGTGACAAATGCAAACACGCGGCAAAGAAAGAGGCATTATTAAGGAAATGAACTTCACCTAAATGTTGTTTTTTACTTTTTGTTCCTGCTTGTAATATGAGTGTTTTGGTCAGATTGGTTCGTGTGCATTTTATTTCATGAAACCCTGACTCTGAACGGTATGATAAACATTGAATTGTCGGACATGTTCAATGTGTGTCAGTGTTGTTTACCAACCTAATGTGAGCTCTCGTGCCTGTCAGTGTGCCCGTATTTGCTCGTACATGAATGCGCACGCGCACTGTTTCAAAGAATTACAGTCTACCGCCAAAAGCATATTGTTGGCCATGGCAGCGTTGAGCCAGAGGCTGAGCTGCACTGTATTTGTTTACTAAATAACAAGGCAGCTACACTCCCTGTCACTTACCTAACATGTTACATGTGGGAGGTTTTTACGATTCTGCACGTTACCAGCAGAATCAAAATGAGAATACATCAATTTTTTTTGTAGCTGTCCATGACCCACACAAAACAGGTCTGCGACCCACCATTTGCGAATCACCGCTCGATAGTGTAATGCACTCTAGCAGAGTGGTGAACAAAACAAACTGTATTTTTGGTAAATTTCCGTTTTCCAAAAAGATTTTCTTACTGTATTTGAATTGAGGCAGGTCCTCCTCTCCCGTGCCCGCACAACTGGATACATACTCCTGTAAAAGCTGAGCACACCTTCTGTTGTCCTCCAGTTCTGCAAGGCGCACTGGTGTATTTCCTTCCTGCATGAATGAAGAAGTGTTTTAAGATAAACTGCGGGTGCATTCTGTGGCCCAATATACAGTCGGTAGACCTTACGTTATCTTTAATGTTGGGGTTCCCACCATTCATCAAAAGCAACTTCAGATTTTGATAGCATCCCCAAATTGCAGCGACATGAAGGGGAGTTAGGCCCTCTGATGATCTAAGAGAAAGACAGCAAAACTTTTTTTTTTTCAAGGCTTGGAATAAGTAGATTTGCAATTTGTGAGGCAATAGTCGTATGTTGTGCTTCAATACAACATATTGAAAGGCAAACCAGCGAATGGCCATTTATGTCCAAATGTTAAGAATATTACTGAATGCTCACTCAATATGCCCGTAATACTGACTGTTCCAGATATTTAAAGAGGGAAAAAAAATCCTCAGAGTGGACGCCGTTAGGGAAAGCTTTAATTTTCCTTCTGCTTCGTTAAATGCTTCAATTCCGTACTGAATGGGAAACAAGGGAGGAGGGAACACTCTGTGCTGAACTTAAACATATTACCGCGGCGTACATATGAATTGTCATTGTATCATGGAATTCACATTTTAATATTCACTGTGGAAGCGTTCAGACATTAACAATTCAATTGTTATATCCAGCAATTAAAGATACGAAATGTTTGTCAAATATTGCCATGAAATATCGTCAACAATCAAAAAATCGTCAAATGACACATTTATGTTCAATCAGTTAATCAAGAAAAGTGTTTATTGTCAAATCTACAGTTTCTCTGTTGAATGACTTTCTTCGCTGTCCATAAATTTGACTATGTTCAAAAATCGCAAAAGGTCGGCACCAACATACAAGTGGCCTGTGTCACTCACCTAACATTCGGATCAGCACCGTGTTGCAGTAGCAGTTTCAAGCAACGCATGTTCTTTTCAGTTTCTTTGCCGACAGCCAAATGTATGGCAGCCACCCCCTTACTCCCCACAAGGTCAGGGATTGCACCCTGGGAGAGAAGTAGCTGCACAGATCTGTGGAGGAAGAGGCAATTTGTCAGACTTAGTCAGAGAGGATGCAACTCAACCATATCAAAATAAACAAATTTTTTGGGGTGATACATCCAGGTGCACAATAGGGCCTGTAGTAAGACACTGACATTCTTGTCCGGCGTATATTTCCTAAGACACCAATCTTTTTTTTTCGGCATTAACTATCTGTAATTCATGAAGTTGTGCTTGAGCACAAAATTATAATTAAAATTATTGCCTCAGGTATTGTATAATAGAAAGTGTAAATGTCTCATGCTGTAATTACATGTTTACTCCCAAAACAAATAGAGTGAAGCGCAGCCTATGGCTAGAAGACTTCATGCTTGTCAATTTGCTGTTGACATTTCATCAAACTTATGCCCCAGCATGCAACCGTTTCACAGTTCTGGGGTTGAGTGTTCAAATACCGGTTCCAGCCTTTGTTTGCATGTTCTCCTTAATCTTGTAGTTCTCAAGATCGGTCTTGGTCTCAAGTTTGGTCTCGAGACCACTTTTTAAGGATATCTGTCTCGTCTCGGAATCGAAGGCATTTTTACTCTGTCTTGTCGCGGTCTCTGACAGTGCATACTCAGGATTTTTTTTTTTTTTTTTTTTTTTTTTTTATGAAGACCGGTGAGACCAAGCCAGTACTACAGTGATCAGTGAGGAACGCAGAGCGCGGTAATGCGCTTCCTTCCTGGTGTCGCCAGGAGTGCCACGCCCCTCGTTCAGACTCTACAAATGCTTAGGAAATGTCCCTGGATGCAACCTTTATTGCTGCATTCAAGGAAGGTAGAAAGTCGGATTTATGCCACTCAGACTGTGTCAGATCCAGCCTCCAAGCGTTCGAGGCAAATGTAAACAACAAAGATTGCTGATTTCGAGCCACTTGTTGTTGTTGTGGTGTATCACAACACATTTTGACCTCCAGCAAACCTTCCTCATCATTTCTTTCATTTATATAAATAAGGGAACATCTTCTCTTCAAAGCATTTCATTGATTTCACCACGCAGTCAGCGGACATCACGTTGTTATTTCGAATAACCAAATTAATGTAATAATAAATAAAGCTGACTACAAGTAAAATTATGCTTTGCTATTAATGCTCTCGGCGCCCTGGTGGTCCAGTGGTGAGCGCGTCGACCTCACAGTGCAGAGGTACGGGGTTCGCTTCCACCTCCGGCCTCCCTGTGTGGAGTTTGCATGTTCTCCCCAGGCCTGTGTGGTTTTTCTCCGGGTACTTCGGTTTCCTCCCACATGATTGAACACTCCAAATTGTCCCAAGGTGAGAGTGTGAGTGTGGACGGTTGTTCGTTTGTGTGTACCCTGCGATTGGCTGGAAACCAGTTCAGGGTGTCCCCCGTCTACTGTCTACAGCTGGGATAGGCTCCAGCACCCCCCGCACCCCTTATGAGAATAAGCGGATCGGAAAATGGATGGATGGATATTCATGTTCTGCATCTCCATGGAGATGAACTAGAGGCATATGTCAGTTATACTCGTCGTCGCGCAATTACATCAGTTAGGAAAAAGTGAATCCAATTAATTTGAAACAATGCTGTCCTTTCCTATGTTGAAAAGGAAGGACCTTTTCATCTCTCCATGCCCTGGTGACATAATCCAACAAAGGTGAAGGAAAGGTGTCATAAAGGTTCGTAGAGTTCACATTCCGAGGAAGCCCTTCGTCTTAGTTGGTGTGGTCTTGACTACAACAGTTTTCTCCAGGTAATTGGCTTCCTCTCACATTTCTAGAACCATGCATATTAGGTTGAGTGTATAATACAGGTCCATGTTTGACCACCAGTCACCTGAACCGGTAGTAATTAATTAATTAATTGTGTCATGCTGAATGCAGAAGGCAATGTTATCACGTGATTACGTGAAACTTTAAATAATGACCTTTTTTTTTTAACTGGTGTGGCAACCATGAGCCTCATCATCTACAAAAAAATTAACTCTTCGTAACATTAACAACATTAAACGCCCACTTTTCGTCAAACGACAATGCATCATTTCTATCAGTTTAAAATACACAGGGAAGCAAGATTGTGATTACGCTCTTACCGACAAATACTCCACATCATTTCACGTGCTGTGTTGTTATGCTTTTTCGGACAGGATGATGGAAGTCGAATCATTTTAGACATGCACGTAGTTGCAGCACAGCCAACACGATACATTTTCCACCAAAAGAAATCCCAATTGAATACGTATCCTGCCGACATACCTTCCATTTAACCTTATGAAACGTCACCCAAAAGTGCATTTTGACGAAGGCGACGGAAACGTAAAAATCAACAATATGACGTACAAAATATTTGTCCGAATCGAAGTCGAGCCCCACAAGCATTGCATCAACAAAAGAATCATATACATCACCGAGGTTCTCCCTTGTTCACTGCTGCACACAGCTGACTTTCCAGTCTTCTCTTCTGATCCATGGCCACATTCGTTCAAAACATAAAAAGGTTCTCCTTTATTCGGGTCTGCACGGTGGGATTACAGTATTTACATCCTTGCAGCAACACGATCGAGGTAATAAGACTGCAGCGAACAGGCTAACCCAGAAACTAAGGAGTTGCGTTTGGGTATTATGTGTGCATAATGCAACACGGTAATCGGCATAAGCGTTCAGCAGTTCAATATTGCCATGCACCTCGATCAAATCATTTAATGCGGTTTTTCTTAAACCTACGACCTCGATATCATGGCAACCTTTTGTCTATTATTTTCGACTACAGTGTATACAAAACTTCCCTCCAAAGGTAAAGGACCCTCCCTTTTGATGACGTTTACGGATGGCACGCTCCGCCTACCAACGTTTAGTCGCATTACCGCCACCTCCCGGACTGGAGTTTGCAACGATACATCTTTTTTTTTATTTGTTTTCAGTACATTAACACTCACACACGCAATATTCTACTCATTAATCTTGTTTCCTTTAAATGAATAATGAACTAATGCTTGCCAGAGTCCTCGTTCAACTTTTTTTTTCATTTTGACAACTCCGCCAAACATTCACCAAATAGTACATCAGTAGTAGTACATCAATCAGCAGCCGCTAAAACTGTTAAAACTATAATGGCAGTGCTGTGGTGGTCTCTATTTATGACCTCCAGTCATTTTATCCTTCGCCTTCATTGTGATTCCCCCCTGCTCGGAAGTGAATGGCATGCCATTTACAAAAGTCTGCAATGGCAGCACGGCGATCAATTGGTTAACACTTCCATCTCCCACTTCTGCGGTTGGGGGGTTGAATCTGGGCTCCAATGGGAATTTGGGACGTTCTCCACTAGCTTGTGTGGGTTTTCTCCAGTGCTGCATATTGCTATTTACCTGGTTTCCATCTTAAATCATTGTTGACAATTATTGTGAGAAATCAAAAACACACACACACACACACACACACACACACGCGCGCGATCTAAATGCTGTAGATGAATATCATTAATTATTCATAATAACATATAATAAAGGTAATTTTGGCAAATCTGTTTATTTCAAAAGTGTGTATAAAACCTTCAATTAATCAGTGACAAAGAAGTAGCTCTCAGTTTTAATAGGTTGTTGACCCCTGTTTTAAACTGTCCTTTGGTGTGAATTTGAATGCAAATGGTTGTTTCTCTACATTTTGCCTTCGATTGGTCTCAGTCCAGGGTGTACCTACCTCATGCCTAAAAGCACTCGCGCACACACACACACACACACACACACACACACACACACACGCGCGCGATCTAAATGCTGTAGATGAATATCATTAATTATTCATAATAACATATAATAAAGGTAATTTTGGCAAATCTGTTTATTTCAAAAGTGTGTATAAAACCTTCAATTAATCAGTGACAAAGAAGTAGCTCTCAGTTTTAATAGGTTGTTGACCCCTGTTTTAAACTGTCCTTTGGTGTGAATTTGAATGCAAATGGTTGTTTCTCTACATTTTGCCTTCGATTGGTCTCAGTCCAGGGTGTACCTACCTCATGCCTGAAGTCACCTCCGGTAGAATGGATAGATGGATGAATGTAATATAATTTAATATTTATTAAAAATATGTGAAGAAGTTATTACAACATTGCTTGAAAAAATGTACTGAAGGCAATGGCGTTAGGCCACATTGAACATCAAATTTGAATCTGCAACAAACAATCATTTTAAGGTCAATAAATACAAATTACTTAAATGGCAGTGCTAGTGGCTTTTGCCACTCGGCAGAAGCCCAACCATAATATTGTTGGAACAACAAGTGATGTCAGGCCCAATTATGATGAGGAGACGGAGAAAATAGTTAGGCCAATGAGGAGGAGTAGCAGGCTCGGGTAGACGGATGCAGCATGGTTAGGATGGTTGAGTTTGCAGTCCTCATAAGGCGGCAGACAAGCTGCGTAAGCCATTACATGGGCAATGTAGTTCTGTTCCTGGACCCCATGGAAGAGGTGGGACATTGGACCTTTGGCATATATAGCCACATCCTCGATGCCGTGAGTCTCTGAGTCCAGAGGGACTGTAGCCTGTTGACGATACTCTTTACCCACTGAAGAAGAAACAAATAGTGGATTAGATTGAATGGCCTCCAGATGTTTCTGAGACACGTAAAGACTTTTTAGTCTCGACCTCAATGATAAATCACAACATACACGTAGATTGGACTGATGGCATAACATGCACCAAGGACACAATTGAAGTACGGAAGAATAGATGTGTTTGCAGATTTGAATTTAATTTAGAGGAAAGGAGGAATGGTGCATACCACTTAAGTTGTGTGTATATTCTCTATGTATACATTTGAGCCTCTACGTATGACATTGTGAACAGAATAAGTCATGGCTTCCTGTAAATTGATCGATCATAATTGTTCCATGCACAATTGATACTTTTTGTGACATTTGGTTTGGTGGTGTGCTGTGAGATTTTTATCATTTGACATAGGCGCTTTGGCTCAATAAAAGTTGGGAAACACTGATCCAGGGAGCCACATGTTACTCCACAAGGTGGAGCTACTATATTACTTTGTGCTCTCTAAAAGGCCTGCTGGCAGTCCACTTACTTGCAATGGTCTCATTTACATCTGGACGAGTTCCATTGAAAAACTGGTATCCCGGTCCATTTGCATATCCAGCGAGAGTAAAGCGCTTTTTGTCATCAGCGATTCCGCGCGATACCCCTGTAGATCACATGATAAACAAGTATCAGAAAGATGTTTCTCCCACTCAAAAACTGTACGGTGCAAAAGCATCACCTAAAATAGGGTTTCCTCTGGCTGAATGTCCACCAATCGAGAAGACGTGTGAGTGGTCTGCAGTGACTATAGTCAACGTGTCCAGCTCATTTGTAAGTTCGGCTGCTCGCCCGATGGCTCGGTCAAATTCAATAGCTTCAGTGAGAGATCTTATGGCCCTGCCGGCATGGTGGCCGTGATCTATTCTCCCCCTTGAATTTCAAAGACAAATGACTTTTCAAATGACAAATGACAAATTAAAAATGGCATTTCAAATAATGCATGCACAAAATACAGACTCAATGGTCTTGTTGGATAAATCATAATTGTCCTGAGACAAAATGTAACTAGCTGTTGATAACCAACTTACAGATGAAAAATATAACACAAAGTATGTGTTAAAGCAGATTTTTTTTCGTGTATAAAAAGTGAGCAATGTTGAGCCGGACAAATCAAATTATGTGACATTTCTACCTGTTTTTCTTGAAAACAAGAAAAAAAGAAATACCGGTAAATGGTCAGGTTGTAAAAAGCTTTCTGGAATAATATGTTTACTAATATCAAATGTGTCCCATATATAACATTGATATGTATGAAATGTAAAGTTTGTGGTTGTATCTGATGTCAAAAAAATTCTACTTATCTTCCACGAAAAGGAAATATCCCTTTGGGTTTCTGCTCAGAATCTTGATGGCTTTCTCGGTCATCTCAGTTAAGGATGGGTCGCTTAACGGATTGCGCTCTATCTCATAGCGACAGTCCTTGGGCTCGAAAAGACCTAAAGACAGTGAGAATAGTACTACTTAAAGCAAGGCGGCAGCTGTTTGAATGGCAAGTTTGAATGGTGTAATAAAAGAATCATCGACAAAAGTGCACAATGCAAGCCTGATGTTTTGTAACCGTACTTACCCATAAGGAAGTCTGTTTTGGCAGGATTGACATCATCAAATTGTTTTTTGTTCCAAACATACTTAGCCTTCTGTTGACCATGAAAAGTACATAAATAAACCCATTACAGAAGTTGCGGATTGTCTGGTAAATAATGCTAAGAAAATTTGAATTGCCGTGGACGTTGCACGGATTATTCCACAGAAGTGTACACACTTGTGAAATACTCCTCTCACCTTTTTATTCTTGAGCCACTCCACAATAAGGTTTTGTCCATCATTTCGATCTCCTTTAACGCTGGGATATTCTGGGTCTTGCATGTCTCTGGGAAACATGTACTCTCGACCACCACCAAGTATGACCTTGAAATGACACATAAGCAGTTTTAGCAGCATTAGTGTTTTCTTGAGGTAAATGATGATGAAGAACGTGCAGTGGTAAATACTAGAGACCTTTGAAATGAAATAATGTTCTCTGCTGTAAAACTTACATTGATCTCAATGTTGTGAACAAGCTGGTATGCAATGTCTCGACAGCCGTTCGCAACAGCCTCGGGGGAGAGATCCGAGTCAGCGTACCAACCTCGGTTGGCGGTGTGAGCGTATGATGCGCCTGGAGAGGCATGCTGAACACGGGTGGTAGTGACTATCCCAACTGATTTCCCTGAAATGAAAAAAAAAGTCATGGTCATGTGAAGATGTCGCTGCGTATACTCAATAAAACAATTATCAGCTTCTGTAGCCTTTTTTTCCCCTCTGATACGCCATTTCGTCTGATATGTCAATCAAATAGCCAACTTACATTGAGCATGACAAATACAGTATTATTAAAATAGCAGTGGGCGGCCCGGTAGTCCAGTGGTTAGCACGTCGACTTCACAGTGCAGAGGTACCGGGTTCAATTCCAGCTCCGGCCTCCCTGTGTGGATTTTGCATGTTCTCCCCGGGGCCTGCGTGGGTTTTCTCCGGGTTCTCCGGTTTCCTCCCACATTCCAAAAACATGCATGGCAGGCTGTTTGAGCACTCTAAATTGTCCCTAGGTGTGAATGTGAGCGTGGATGGTTATTCGTCTCTGTGTGCCCTGCGATTGGCTGGCAACCGATTCAGGGTGTCCCCCGCCTGCTGCCCGAAGACAGCTGGGATAGGCTCCAGCACCCCCCGCGACCCTAGTGAGGATCAAGCGGTTCGGAAAATGAATGAATGAATGAATAAAATAGCAGTAGCCCCTAGCATTAGTTGATTGTTGTGTTCCATTGCATGTCCCGTCAAGATTTTGTACTCTGCTGTTGATTCCGTTATATGGAGCCCCTTGTCAAAAAAGAGAGAATCACAAAGTCTAAGTTGACAGCACTTGCCACAAGGCGCCCTGTTATGAATGGGCCCGGGCCCCGTTAGTTGCCACATCCTCCTTTTACTGCACAGTGCACCGCCATCCCCCGGCCCCCCTTCCCCAGCCATTTTTAGTTTGTGTCACCTGCATCACAGTACAATTTTAGAAACACTCATTTGAAATTTTTGCACAAGTCAATCACCTGCAAGATGGAAGGTATTACTCTATAAGGATGATAATCACAATTAAACAACCCAAATTATCACGCCAGAAAGTTTTATTTTGAATACAATATATATATATATATATATATATGAATCAACCCTCCGAAGTTTTTCACACATCTAAAATTGCAAACAGCAATACGCAAAAATATATTCTACAGTATGAAAGCAAGACCCCACAAAATGCAACTAAAATTACCAAGATGAGAGCGACATATTTAATTTTACAGTACGTCTGTATCTAACAGCCTTGCATGTGTGTGCAATTTTGGGTGGCGCGATGACTCAAAAGATCTGACGTGTTGCCTGTGCAGCAATTATTTTCTTGCGTTTTCTGCATACAGGGTAATTATATTGGTTTTAGTTTCCATCTGCCGCCTCATAAAAACTGAAACACGGCCACACATACAGTGTAAATGTGGCGTCGTTTTCTTCGTCTTCCCTTTTTTGATGGTTTGCTGATATGCCGCACAGTGGATGCCAGATGTCAACGATACTTGAATACTTTTAAATCAATGGTAGTAACGAAACTCTAACACTAGACATTTGACACAGTCACTGATTGGGAACTGCACCCATGCTACGTGCACCTAATTCATGCAAGTGTACCACTATCCCGTTCGGCAGTGGTGGGTTATTGTAGCCAGCAATGCCTTCTGCACTGGGCAAAAATACATCAGAAGCACCAACCTACATTTACAACCTGAATTCCATGATCTTTTAAATATATTCCCAAAAGTGCATTTTCTTCAATTTGTAACATAACTCTCGGCTGGGCTGCTTACCTTAGCTAATGTATCCGGATTTTAGATTTTTTTTTTGGTGGGGGGGGGGGGGGGGTGCAAATAGATTTAAACTAATCTGATTTAAAATTTGCCCTCGACACAATAAAGTCAGCATTTTTCCATCCTTTGATTGGTTGGTCACAGTGAGTCAAGTTTTTTTTCAAGAAAAACAAACCTTTTGCAATTTGTGCAGTTGAATACATTTAATGACCTTTACATCTGGCGGTTTATGTGTTTATGTCACGTTATCATAAACATTTATGAGACGATTATGTGGGACACTTGTGGGCTGTTAGATTGCATTTTTGCATATTGATGGTTTTTACAATCGTTCCGTGACAGTGATGGTGTTAAGAGGTGGATTAAGTCAGCTAAGTCCCCAGTGAAGGCCGAGGTACAAAATGAATAGCCCGTCTCTGCCATCGGTGTTATGTCATAAATATATTGTGTATCATAATGTTTAGGAGCATGGTTCTAAATTTCCAATATGGAACTTGCAGTGAGGGGATTTGGTGCAGTTTAAACATGGTGCATTTGAATTAGATTGATTTAGCGAAAACTAATGTTACCTGCTTGCTTGGCTCGATAAAGCACAGATTTGACTTCATTCCCATAGGTGGCACTGCAATTGTACCTTGGAGTGGCAGCAGTGACTCCCAGCGTGCCATAGTTGGCTTTCACTCCACATAGGTATGCAGTGGCTGTACCAGCACTATCTGGCATTTGTTGGTCTACATTGTATGTCTGCAAGGTAGAACGTAACAACAAAATCATCACATCGTCATGTTGCTTTTGCAAAGCAAGTTCAACCGATAGTGACATTTCAAATGGTATCTTGTATGATATTTTCACATCTCTAAAAAATGCCCATAGTACTTCAACTTTACAGTATTTGCAGTAGATAATGAAATTCAGCACGAAATTCAGCACAAGAATTTAAGATGGAGAGACCGCAGGTGTGTGCAACCGAAGGCCGAATATTTTTTTGTTTCCCCTAATGGAATACTAATAAATGAGCAGTGAGAGCGATTTTAGGTCTCATCATTATGCATAATCCAACTGTCTACAGTACGGCAGACTGACACCCATCTCTACCGGTCTGGTTATTGCTGCTTCCTGCTCGATTCTCTTCCTCCCCTCAAAGGCCACCACATCTTCCTCCTCCTCCTTCAAGACCAGCTTCACCTCCTCATCGGCACAGCCATGACGAGGGTCACCCACTCCCTCAAAAACCCTTGTGCTACTGACCTTTACCACTAATGTTGCTGCAGCTAAGAATTACAACAATAACCATGATGTATTACGTTCACACACACACACACACACACACACACACACACACACACACACACACACACACACACACACACACACACACACACACACTCACACATTCACATCTTGTACGCTTTCTTCTGTCAGAGTAGTCATGTTCGTTTGTTCACATATCAAATCAAATGCAAATATCTCTTAACTGTCAACTTAATCAAAGTGCAATGTTGTCTAATCACAAAGTCAGGTCACGGAGACTTGATCAGTTTCTGATGGTGAGCAACAACAAGTATCAGTCATGCAATATATAAGGACTAAAGTGCTTCAACAATTTTATCATTAAGTGAAAAGTGTTACTACATCATTTGCATGAAAAATGCACAGCCTGCTATAGGTCAAATCCATCCATCCATCAATTTTCCGATCCGCTTATCCTCACAAGGGTCGCGGGGAGTGCTGAAGCATATCCCAGCTGTCTTGGGGGACACCCCGAACCGGTTGCAAGCCAATCTCAGAGCACACAGAGACGAACAACCATCCACGCTCACACTCACACCTAGGGACAATTTCGAGTGTTCAATCAGCCTGCCATGCATGTTTTTGGAATGTGGGAGGAAACCGGAGTACCCGCAGAAAACCCACACAGGCCTGGGGAGAACATGCAAACTCCATACATTTATATTTACCTCCCTAAAATTCATTCTTTGTCTCTGGATTGAGTGACATATTGTTCTTTCAGTTTGAATGCAGTCTTTCATTTTTATGGCTTATTTTGTTGCTTCTGATTTCTGTTTGCTTGCGCAAAGACTATGTTGGTTTGCTTCATGCTTTAGCTTCACTTATTTTTTGTGTGTGTCTTTGTGAGAACTATACCTGAATATAAATACATCTGTTCCAAATCAACATCATAGTGATTTGTAATCTGAGTTACAATGAGTGTGCTGACCTTCGACAATGCCAGGTGAGGGAAGGTATCCATGACCAGACTGGTCTCTTCTCCAGACCGTCCTGCCTTTTGGCCTTTGAGAATGCGGGCAGCAGTAACTGTTGTTACTCCCATACCTAGAATTGGGTGGGAAACCTGAATGTTAGTTCAGTAACATCGAAAACCATACCACAAGATTGCCATAGCTCTTTAGTAACCCCACGAAGCTCCAATATTATTGTGCCTTCTATGGGGCAGTATTGTTGGACTTGTTGGATTAATTCCCATGCTTGTTTTCAAGAATACGACTTTCATGGAATGGTTAAATGTGATCAACAGCCACTGATAAAAATCCAAATAATGTCTCTCAGCATGTATGTGTAAATCTGATGCTATGTTGTAAATGCACACATGAACTCTTCAATAAATCTGAATTGAGTTAAGTTGTAAATTATTGACCTTGGCTCATCGAATAAACAGATAGAGATGAACATTAAGAGTCACATATATTGCACAATTTGAGATTAGATAGGAAGAAGAAGTAGGATAAGCATTTAACCTCTAATTGCCCCTTAATGGAGACCCAAGTGGATAGAATCGGGACAATACATTTTAAAGATCCTACGAGATTTCTATGGAGTACTGATAACATTGACCCCAATGTTTCTGTTCTGTACAAGGTCATCAGAACGCACTCATACAAAATATGTGCCATCAAAGACAGAAAACACCTTTGCTGTCAAAATATTTGTGAACATTTTTTTCCCCTCGAGGCAGTTTGACAAACAAGTCAGAAGTCATCACCTCTGCCATAATACCTTCCTTGTGCCATTTAGTTCACGAATTTGATCACTTCGTTTGAGAGCTTTACTACCACAGTGATTAAACTTTCACTGCCATGAACCAGTGGCGTATAATTACCTTACTAATTTAAAGAGGCTGTTTAATTAGGAAGATAATGTCTTCCCTCAACTCACCGTCCCCAAGGAAGAGGATGGTGTTCTTGGCTTGGTGGAGATTAGGCTGAATGTTGAGAGCAGTATGAAGAGCTTGCTTCCCTTTGTTGTTCCAGTAGCTGGCATGGAGCTCTTCCTCTTTACAGAGGAAAGAAACAGCGAGTGAGTATCATCCAGATGTGGACTTGGAAGATTCCAATAATTAAAAACAATGAAGAATAATTTTGTGCCAACTCTTTGACTGGAAAGTCTGTATAACGTCCTGGAGATAGAAATAGTCACCTGTCATGTATTGTCATAAAATGTGTGATAAAACTTTACCGTAAACAGAGACAGTCCTTTGGATTGAAATGAAAATCAGTAATCCACACAAAACGTACATGCGCTTCCCAGCCATGCTCTTGACTGAACTGAGTTTGAAAATAATGCACAGGGGGAAAACAGACCTTTATGCATTTATAGTCGCAGTTAAGGAACAAAGGGCACATACCTTTTACAACAGGCAAAAAAAAAAAAAAAAGAAGGCATAGACAAGGACCAGTTGTAGGGGCGCTAAATCAGTGAGGTACTTGGTCTTACATTGGGTATAGTTCACATCGGTTTTATATTACTGCAGCTTCCTGACCAGAAAAATGTGAATAGAATACAACAGATGTTTTTGATGCTTACTGATATGTGATATTTACGCCCTCCACACGCAAATACAATCAGTTGTGTGAGTACAGTAACACTTGACATTGGGTGTGTTAATGGCGTTCCAGTGGGCTATTATCTTATTTATCTTATTTACACTGTCAATCATTATATTGTATGCTCATGATGTTCATAGCAGTAGAGTTTTAAATCTCTAGTAGATTACTTTATGGCCAGTTTCCTGGAGCGGGCAAGAAAAATGTACTATATTTCATTAAAGATGCTGTAAAGTGAATTTGTTTTCACAAAGTAAATACATGATAAATGTAAGATGCAAGATAATTGTTGAAAACAGGTGCATAGGCTGAGAAAAATATTGTGAGCGTTCACTCATTTTCACCATTTCAGTTGTACTGATTTTTTGGGGGAAGGGCATGGCCACGATAGCGGGAAACTTGCTTGTCCAGCAATAGATGCTCCGCCCCCACAAGATCTGCATGCCATTGGACAACCGCGGCCAAGTGGCTAATATTGTCACCTGCTGCCTTTGGGACACTGGTTGAAGACCATTCCCCCTGTAGACACTTAGCCATGGTTGTGGTGACAATTGGGAAATATGGGGAGCGTCCCGGACGGCCAGTCTATTTCCAGGCCCCGACAAATACTTTTCGTGACAGTTGCCGTACGATTTTTCACAACTGTCCATGCATTTGCTGATTTTAAAAAAAAAAGTTTTATCATTGAAATGTGCCAGGGTTGCTAACGACACTCTTCTTTGTGGTGTGTCAAATTTACAAGACATTTTTATTGTCATCTGACAGGGACTTTAAACTTGGGGACAGACAGAATGAACATTGGCCATGAGAAATTACTTACGGTGTGACCAAAGGTATGTGTATATTTTTGGTTGTTAAGAGTCCCAAGAAGTCTCAACCAAGTACACTATATCAGGTGTAATTAAAAAAATGCATTTATTTATATGCATATATTCACAACAATCAACCAACTAAAACATTATCTGACATCACTGAAATTTCATATTACTAGTAGTGGAAAGCTGAAAGCCAATTCCTTAAATAACATACTCAAGTACTTGAATATTATGAAAGAACAATGATAAAAGAAGATACAAACTCAAGGAATAAAATGAATACTGTCATTAAGGTAGCATTAATATTGTTTATTTCTTATATCAGACATTCTGCAAAAACAGTGTATAAAAATACATTTTGCATATAAAATACATTCACGGACAATTAAAATAGATTGGTGACGTCAACTCAGACAAAAAAAAAAAAAAACTGTGATGCCCATGAAATCCAGATTTGACCCCATTGCTTAAAAAAAAAAAAAAAATCCTAAATACCTGGAAAGACATACAGTACCATTATAAATTCTTAAGGTCTACCGGTATTACAGCTTGGCATGGCAAGATGGCCTCCGGTTCAGAGTCCAGCCCTTCATTCAGTGTCAACATGTGCATCAACAAAACTGGTCAATGATCCTTCAGCCTCCTTGTTGCCTTCAAGTTATTCTTGGTGTGTCAGCTTCAGATTCATGTGTAAATAATCATAATGACGAGAATAGGACAGAAACTTTACCAGCACATCTTATGAGAATATTGCTTGAAAAAAAAATCCTCCTAGGCTTTACATATTCCAACGCTTGTTCTTGTTTGCATATTTTCACAATGTCTAAATGTTGCTTGAATTTCAAAACGAGATGGCTCAAAAAACATTTACTTTAATTATTCCCTGCTGCAAGGATACTATGTACTTGCATTATTATAGCTGTGTGAATTGCCGCATGTGTATAGTTTGTGTGTGGCTGTCATCTGGAGAACCAGATGAGGCCAATTAGTCCAAATATTAGGTTTGAGGGTGTGTTCGCACACGCGGTGGATGTGTGGGAATGAGGTGGAGGGGGACAGTCTGTGTAGGGTTCCAAACAGGCTGCGTAGGCCATAACATGAGCCACATAGTTCTGTTCTTTGACCCCATGGAAGAGGTGAGCCATGGGGCCTTTAGCGTAAATGGCCACGTCCTCGCCACCATGTGTCTCAGCATCAAGAGGGACGGCGGCCTGCTGCATGTACTCCTCGTCATCTGCAAATCAAATGAGTAGGGTGGAGATGAAACCACAAAGCACACGCAGAAACAGCATAAATCTTCAGGCATTGGGTCGCAATCTTGCTTTTGCCAATAAGATAATTAATTGTTTAGCTTTTGGACTGTGATTGCGAGTCTCGTTTGACAGTTGTGAGTATGATTCTTTCCAGGGCTACTCGTTCGCTAAACAAGTCCTTATCGGTATGCCAGTCCGCAAAAACTAACTTGCGGCCTTTTGGACACTGGGTCTATTTTTAAACACCCATGAACAGCTGTCTTTGCATCTGTGGACTGCAGAACCAATATTCAGGAAATCAATCCAATCAGCATATAAAAAGTATTTTCATAGGGCTACTGTACTACATTTGTAATGTGTTCTATCAAATATGTCAACTTATAATATGTAATAAAAATCGTACCTTTATCAGAATAAACAGCATGAATATGAGGGTTCTCAAGACAAATACTATCTATTTTAAAAATGAATCCCTCAATTGTCTTGACACATTCACTAAGGTACCAGATGTGTTAAGACAGAAGGTTTTAACGACTGTTCCATTGAGGGCTTATAAAACGAATTCATCCCAAGAAAAAGTAACACACACCAAGTATGTCATGCAATGACTGAGTCAAATGGTGCAGAGAAGAAGAAGGAAGAGCTGCTTCAGTGTGTGTAGTGTTCCACAAAGAAATACAAATAGTTTTTTTGATAGATACACATACTGTACATTTACACAGAAGAGTTTAAAACAAAACAAAGCACGGCTCGGAGAATCCTATAAATATTATCCTTGAAGTTTTGCTTCCTAGTGATTAAAAGCAAGCTATAATTAAATCAATACACCCAAACTCAGACAGGTTTGGCATCTGAAAGTTATTATCATGTCCTTACAGTAATCCACCATCGTGATGTTCCCTCTGGTTCCATTTATGTGCACATAACCAGGGCCGTTGGCGTACAGGATGCTGGTGAAAGGCATTTGGTCATCTGCTTTTTTTGGTGCAAGACCTGGGTCGCAAATCATAAAACAAAAATGTGATGAATAGCAATAATAATACACTAGTCAAACAGAACATGAATTTAAATGATTCATACCAAAGATTGGATTTCCTCGGGGTGTATTGCCACCAAAAGTGAAGACGTGAGAGTGGTCAGCTGTGACGACGGTCAATGTATCAGATTCTCTGGTGAGCTGCGAAGCGCGATCAATTGCTCGGTCAAACATCACAGCCTCTGTTAGTGCAAGTTTGGCAATGCCATCGTGGTGTCCGTGATCAATTCTTCCTCGTAATGGGAAACAAGAGAACATTCATTAATTGATGAGATATTTCTCAGGATTTATGGGTAGCACGATGCATTCTATTTATCTATACAGGTATTTCATTAACAAAAGTTACACATTTATTATCATGCCACTTCCTTTTTCTACTGCTCATATCAAGTACTCATCTTCTACAAACAGAAAATAGCCTTTTGGATTCTTGCTCAGGATTTGAATGGCTTTCTCCGTCATCTCCACAATAGAGGGATCCCGGGTGGTGTTTCGGAAAACTTCAAATCTCATGTCCTTTGGCTCAAACAAACCTGGAACCAAAAAGGTGAGATTATAGAAGCTGTTTGGAGTTGCATTTATATGCGCACATTTTACATGAATAAAAGAATGATACAACAAAAGTAAGCAGAATTCCAAATGGAATACACAGATCTTTGATTAAAAAGGCACACACACACACACACACACACACACACACACACACACACAAACACACACACACACACATCTATAGATAGATAGATAGATAGATAGATAGATAGATAGATATACTGTATACATTTTTTTCAATACCCAAAAAGTTGTGGTAGTAGAAACAAAAGTTTGAGAAACTAGAGAGACTGCTATGAAAAACATGTTGTAAACTTAATTGTTCACAGGTGACTTTGGCAGTGTTGGCTGCAAATGCCAAGTTGTTCACAGGCAAGGAAGGTGAGACTTTTAATTACATTGTGTAGCACTATGATGGAAATAGGAAGATCCATCCAGCCATTTTATCTGAACCACTTAATCTTCACGAGGGTTGCAGGCGTGCTGGAGCCTATCCCAGCTGACTTCAGGCATTAGGCGGGGTTCACCCTGAACTGGTAGCAGAACACCGAAAATAAGAAAACATTTGGCTTATGGTATTCCCCATAGAGTTCTAGAATCTGAAATGGCTGGAAATGAACACTGAAGTACTTGCGACCTGCACTGAGCGCCAACAACCAATGCATCTATAAATAGTGGTGGATAAGTGCTTGTACAAATGCAAAGTACAGAGTGGAGTTACCAGAAATGGTGATGTAACAACATGGCAAACATGAGCTTCCAGACCTTTGTAATGAATGACTTTAATACTTTACACTTTAATAAAGAATAAATGAATACTGAGCGTTTTCATCAATGTCATCATAAAAACGCTTTCAAAGTAGTTAAGACTTTTGTTCATTTGGCCAAACAGAAGGCGACAACATGTCGCACGGTGCATTGGCAAAACAAGAAACGTGCCCTGGGTTCCTATCACCGTTGTCAGGACTTAATGACACACAGCTATCAATTTACAATGTTACACTTTGATGACTCCATATAGCTGTTAAGATGAAAGTTGATGTGTTGTTTCTGAACGCTACAAAGGTTCACAACACAAGATAAGATGGGAGTTCTGTCTCTCAATAACTAGGTAGCCTGAGAACAGATGTGCAAATGTTGGAGTGCAGAAGGTCAACTTTTCAAGCTTTTTGCCTGCTTGCCTGTCTTATTTCCATTGCAAGTTAAAGGTTACCCACCCATGAGCCGATCAGTAGTTTCAACGTTTATTTCGTCAAACTCCTTCCTGTGCCAAACATAGTGTGAATTCTTGGTCTGAAAGACACATTAGTGTACACATAAGACAAAGCATTGACATTATCTACCTTGTGTAATGTCCTTAAGTGTCATACAAAGGACTAGTTGTGTTTTTAAAAGCCATTTTAAATGACCCTACTGGTTTAGCCTTCAACCAGACATCAATAAGGTTCCTCCGGTCTTGGCGGTCCCCCTTGCGAGAGTTGGAGGTTGGATACTCAGGGTCCGAAGTGCCTTTTGGTGTCATATACATCCTCCCTCCTCCCAAGATCACCTTAAAGGGACACCAAGAGTCATTATATTATGTGCTACATTGGTTCAATAGTTGCCTCTTTACACCGTCATAGCAATGCACCATTGTTTGTTGAATTAAAAAAAATAATGTGTTAAGACGACTGATGCTGTTATTTCCCCATCACAAAATGCTCCATAAAATAACATACAGGGATGTGAATTTTCTTGTGTTCATGGATAACCTGCATAAATGAATGAGGCAGAACGATGTCAGCTTCATGTTTATGGCACTATTACAAAAACTCTGCGTAAAAGATGCCAATGACAGCCGTTGGGTGTCGACCCTAGCCATACAGGATTAACTGACTTCGTCAAAAAAAGAAACGTTAAACAGTATGTTTGATATTTGGCAACATGGCTTCTTGCCCTTCAACTGTCCGCTCATGCTTGGAAAACCAACGGCAAAGAAAGCAACACCAAAAAGTGGCTTGTAATTTGTCAAGAAAGACATGGGAATTGGCACGCTGGTGGCCCTTGACTAAGGCTTGCTGGATGATGTTAGTCAAAGTAGTATGTTGAAGGGGTCAGCTGAGCCAATTGGATGCCTTGACTGGAAAAAGACCACTAAGCAGCTGTTCTACACTGGCTTTGGATCAGCTGAAAGACAAAGCTGTCAACTGAGCATGTAAGATGCCTGAAGACTGTGCATAAGTACGTAAGTTCAAATCTTATTACGTCAAGAGTACCAACAACCCAAGAATTTAATAACAACCCGAACCTATGCTAAACATTAAACTCCCTGTTCATACGTCATTATGACAATGCGATATGTTTCTGCACATCTACTCTGTCAGTGTTCTTGATCATTAAACCAGAGCAAAGTCCTTGCGCACTCATGACACAGTAGGAAAATCCAGCCATAAAAAAAAAAAAAAAAAAAGCAGACGACTTTATACAAAGTCTTTTCTACAAGGTGAAAGTGATGAAAAATCAACATATATCGGCAAAGAGTAATTATGCTAGTGCCTCCATCATTCCATCAATTGTCCACAGCAAATTATGTTCAACTGACTGTGGGCAAAAGGTGGGGTACACCCTGGAATGGTCACCAGCCAATCATTTTTACTCTGGGGCAGATGCCCACCTTCCTCCGATGCAATTCCACAAATTCAAAACAATGGCTTATCATTTTGGGGGCAAAAAAACAAAATGGTACAATCTTCATCAGTATTAAAAAAAATAAATAAATAAAATAACAGAAATAATCTCACATCAATGTCAACGTTGGTCACTAGTTGGGTGGCGATGTCCACACACCCTTGATGGCGTGCGCTACTGGGAAGATCTGCATCGCTGTACCAGCTGCGGCTGACCGAGTGGGCATAAGCGGCAGCTGGTGATGCGTGCTGGACTCGAGTGGTGGTCACGATACCAACGGATTTACCTGGACAGCGAAGACAAGTCATGATTTGTTAACATTCAAAAAATGTAAAACAACATTTATTCTCAATCAGACTGCTGGTAATATCTAACATGACCTGCAAGGTTGCCACGTTTTACGTTTTTTTTTTTTTTAATCTTTAGTAATTACCCCATGTGCTGCAGTCGATCTAAATAAGTTTATATAACGCAACATACAATTTTACAAAAATTGTAAAAGTATTATTCCTGAATATTTATTTCACTTTCAACCACTCGACATGTTCAGTGGCATCAGTGCTATACATACACATATTGTTCTTATTTTTTTCTTTGTATTTTTGCCCTCTATGGACAATAAAAGCGGTATTGTGCTATGACCAAAACATAAATATAAATCTATATAAATAAAACATGAATTGGAATATTTCATATCACACACTTTTTATGCTGTGTCTTTGATTTAAAGATGACAATACGCAAAAATCTACAAAAATTGTAGAAATTGTAACATATGGGGTAACCCATGTGTTACAAACATCGTAGAAATTGCAGCACAAGGGTTACCAACTGCAACATTCTACTTTATTGCATTTGAAGGCAATTTTATCTTTCAAATTGTTGAATGGGGAATTGCCCACATCTGATTGCTAAAATTAGCACCGATAACACCGGTTTAAGTCTTGCATAAGACCACGAGGACAAAGAAAAGTTTTACACTCACGCTAAAGCATATCCTTGTTTCTTTGATACAAGTGAAGACCAATTTATATCTTTGTAATTGTTCCTGCTGCATCCTGTGCATTAATGTTCTACTTTTAAATAGAAATGCAACCGTAATTAAGAACTGATGAATACGTTTGATCTGAATAAATTTCTTTAAGCATCATTCATCATATCATGAAAACTTATGTTTATTAGCCCTGCAAACCTTTGCCAAGCAATGCAAAAGGATCTTTTGGGCCCATTCTGAACTTTGAACTATAACCATTGTTAGTCCAGTAACACGCTTATCAGATGATTGTTTTATAAATCTTATTCGACAGATAAGGATCACTTGAATTTGCTGACCCTTTTACCTTTGGCTTTTGCACGTCGCAGCACGGAGTAGACCTCATTGCCGAAGGTGGTGTTGCATTCATAGGCCACTGCATTGCCGCTAAGTCCAACGGTTTTGGCATTAGCTTTCACTCCACAGTGGTAGGCCGTAGCTGTGCTAGCACTGTCTGCCACTTGCTTGTCTACACTGTAGGTCTGGTGAGAAGAAAAACAGTTGCTAAAAATGGAAAAAATAAAGAAATAAAAACAGTATAACACTGACACTTGTCAATGTAACAAATGATAAGAATGCTAAGAGAGGTGAGATTTTCTTGGTAAAGACAGAATCTCAGAATGTGATGTGCGGGTATAAAGGTAGGACAAATGTCTGTCAACTTTCCCATTTTATTTTATTTATTTATTTATTTTTTGCTACAAAACCCAAAAGTAACCCGATCTTGTGTTTCTTTTTTTTTTAAGTTGAACTAAATCCAAGATGTCAAATTTTCTTCTATATTTCAACTGTGCATATATTTTTTGTCAGCAGCTCCTGACCAAAACATAAGATCTACTCGCTGTCAGGGGCCGCCACCTCTCTGTCTTTGTGTGAGTTTGCGAGAATCTGACATATGTTCACCAATCACTGTTGCTAGTAATGACTAAAAAAAGAACATGGTTTGTAAATATTCAACCATTACAAGCTACACATTCAATTTCATTACGTAAGTACATTAAGTACAAAAGCTATGTCACAAACTATGATCATAAACATCCTCACCCACATGTACTGAGTTGTGAGCCAATCTGGATTTCTTTTTGTCGATCTCTTTCACGTGAAGAAGTTGATGTACTATTCTTTTACTCTTTTACTACCTGTTTTCTATCTCAGACATGGTGTATACAGGATCAAATATTTAACTGTCCTGTTAGGTTGCGGGTCAAACTGACCCGCTGAAAAATATTTTTTTCAGTCATAAGTGCAGTAGCTCAATGAACTACAAACATTCATGAAAATTGACTAATGGAGTTAATAATTAGGCTATTTTTTTTTTTTTATTATATGTGTGATACACTTTCAATAATGGGTCAAATTAACCTAGTACTGCAACGCAATTGCATTTCTGGACAAACAAACGCAGCAGGAGCGTTAAGTCCATTGGTCTCAATGATCTTTCGGCCGACACATTTCAATAGCCTGCGATATGAGCAGGGAAGGTGCTTCTTGCGCTTCAGCGTTACCTACGTTCTTCAGCTGAAAATGATCTTGCCCAACATGGCGTGGCACTTATTTGGTGAACTATTCTGTTTAATTCTTCATTCACAAATGCAATATTGATCAAAGTGCAGTGGACGGCCACTATTCACTGGGGATAGGAACCAGGCCGGTGCGGAAATAGTGAAAAATCCCAAATAATTGACAGCCATTGAATTCTATTACATAATAATTTATTTTAATTAACCCCCCCAAAAACTTGACTAAGTGGGGACATACCGCCAAAAAGCGTTCTCCACGAAAAAACATGATTGACACCCCTCACTCCCCCATAGAAACGAAAGAAATAAATGGCGAATAGGTGAATTTGGGGGTGCCGAACTGCAAGTCAGCATACTATGGTTGTATTAGTGCTGGCACATACAATGTACTCTTGCTTTGAAATGATCTTGGTGTTATTTCCCCGTTTCAAAAGATGTAGAGAATATTTCTGAGAAAGACAGACTAGACCTAGCACATGAAAAAAAAGACTGTATTTAACGTCGAGAGTACAGCTTTAAGCTTTCCTTCTCTCTATGATTATCATAATTAAAGAGATGTTGGATTCAACTTTGATCCCACCTTAAGCGTTTTTTTTTTCTTGTTTTGCCACAATGACAGCATTTTGACTTAAACCATTGACTACCAAGGTTTTAGGGCCAAAAGTCTTAGTGAGAAGGCATCACGTAAAGAGATTAAACCATTTAAAAAGGTTACACACAGACACACTAACAACTGAGCTTCCTGTGGTGTATGTACTGTATACTGAATATTGGACCCCCGTCTCCCACGTTGTGATTAAACAGAAAATGAAGTGGTCACCAACTGAATGTCATGTAATCCAAGTCAAGAGCTGTCTTAACAAAAATTATAATGTTCAGCTTCAGTTAGAGTGTCACTGGGTATGAATGAAATTAAATTCAGTATATGACAGGGGGAAAATATTATTCTGATAATACTGCATCTATTAAGTACGTAGTGTTAACATGTTGTCACCTTAGAAAGTGCCACATATGGAAAAGTGTCCATGGCCAGTACTGTCTCCTCCCCTGCATTGCCCTGCATTTGACCTTCCAGAATTCGAGCTGCTGACACAGTGGACACGCCCATTCCTGGAAGACAGTGACTGACAGGTTAGTTGCAGTTTGATTTTGTTGAACTTCCCGAACTGAATTTCCACTTGTAACGACATGGGTAAATTGAAAAAAAAAAAGAAAAAAGAAAAAAACACAGTGTATTACGAAAACAACAAAAAAACAACAACAAAAACCAGAGGCACAACAATTTAGATAATTTATCTGAGGATATTTGAATGATGCAAACAAGCTAAAAGAATCAAAGATCACAAACAGGAAAATGTGGTTTGTGAGGAAGCAGGCAACTCAAAGTCCAAGCTTCATCTTCTCTGTTTAAAAATAACATTTTGCAGTGTATTATAAAATAGTTATTAAAATAACAAATATGATCAAATAATCATTTTGAACATGCCCTTTAATCTTCCGTTTTGGGTATTATTTACATCTATTGATGAAACACTTTGAAGACTTTGTGAAAGACAGAAGCATGGTAGGTTTATTATTCTTTTGTATATTCTTGTCAATTCATGACCTTACTGACCCTTGAAAGTTTCCAAAGGTCTCTCAATTATCAAGCATTCAAAATCCAAACCAGACATTTTCGTCCTTGTTTGAAAAGAAAAAAAATGTTTGTTTGGAGAAGGACTATTCCTGTCAAATTGAGGTAAAAAGAGGATTTGACCATCTTCCAAGTAAACAAAGTCATTGCCATTAACATCAACTAAAAGTGTAAATGGACCTTCACATTTAAGTCAGTGGTTTTCAGACAGAGCAGTGCTTGGCAAGTATTAAGACCACTGTTGAAAGAATAACTCATGTGTCAACATGTGCAAAGTTACTGCTGTGCAACATCACAGAACTTACTGTCCAGCATAGGTTAGCAGCAAACCGTTAGCTTATGTTAAGCTTGTGTTTGCTAGTTGTAGCTATTTTTTCTTAAACAAGTACAGTATTCCATCCATCCATATATTCGCTGTACTGCTTATCCTCACTCGGTTCGTGGATATGGTGGAGGCATTTTTAAAATTTTATGTTATTAAAACATTCACCTTCAAAAGTATTGGAATGCGGAAGCTAATTCTTTTAATTTTGCTGTAGCCTGAAAACATTTGGGCTTTGACATTTAAAAAAACAATAATAATAACAATAATAATCTGAGATGAGAGATCAACATTTTAGCTTCTATTTTCAAGTATTTACTGCTGGATTGGATTAAAAAATAAATCTAACTTGAAAGATAGTTTCTTTAACTCCACCTATTTTCATATGACTGACTTGTTTGGTTTCTTGTCCATTTGTACACAGTATTATTACAATGATTACTCAAACAATGTCCATGCTCACTTTTGCATTCGAGTTTTGCCTATAAGACAAGACAAAGACGAAACTAACATTTATACTTGATAGAGGTGGAACCAACAAGAAAACAAAAAAGCTAGAGCTGTTGAAGGATGGAAAAATAGGCAATTGTGAAGATGAGAGAAGACGGAAAATCAGAGCCATTGCATAAATATTGCCATAGTTAGACAATCATTTAGATTTTCCAAAGAAACCACTGGTGTACAGAGTAACAGATGTTGCTATGCTACATTATGGTAGAAACATTGTGAGGGCTGTAAAGAAAGACACTAACATCTGTTCGTGACATCAGCAATAACCGACAGAAAGCAGGAAGGGAGGTATCACAATGTACACTTTGTATACGACCTCATGAAGTAAAGAGCAGATGATGCAAGACAAAGACAAAAAGAAAGAAAGGACTGAAGGGAAGCAAACGACAACTGTAGCAGGTTACGGTGGTAGTCTGGAAAAGCGCCACAAAAGAAGAATGCAAAAATATTATGACTCAATGCAGTTGTTGCAAAGGTTTGCATCCAGTCTTTTCCAAGACCTACTCACCGAAACGGTGGTCTTTTGTCAGAAAAAAAAAAAGAAGGTCCATCTCCTAGTTGTGTATCTGATCCATATATAAATTGTAGTAAACAGTGTTTGTTTTAGTTGTCTTTTAGGTCAACTATTGGACTTTACCCATGTAGCATTACTACAAAAGTGAAATCAATAGTGGTACTGGTGGACCAAAGTTAACTCATCAACCATCAACCAGGAATGGTTTGATTTAAAACAGGGTCTAGTAGTGGGAATACCAAAATGCAGTCTCAATCGGGCCAAAATTGAGTTTTTCAACCCACTCGCAAAGCATTTTTCATAGCACCGTTTTGTTCAGCGGAGAGGTTGGCCCTTTTGTACAGTCTGTGTTGGTGCAGCTGGATGGATGGCTGGTGGAACTAAAGATGATGAGAGAGGAGTGTCGGCGGATGTGTATTTGGAACTGAGAGTCAGGCGCTTGGAATTGAAGTGGATTTACATGGGATGGGAGAAGTGAACCTTTTTTCGTCAATGGACACTACAGCTTCTAGTTTACATTCAATCTTGCCTTTTAGCAGCCATGTGGGACGTCTGATCCACTGTCGCGCGCGCGCGTGTGTGTGTGTGTGTGTGTGTGCGTGTGTGTGTGTGTGCGTGTGTGTGTGTGTGCGTGTGTGTGTGTGTGCGTGCATGCGTGTGTGTGAGTGGAATTCTACGGTAAATAAACTGTTTTTTGTTTTTTTTGATGGAACTTTTTTTCTCCAGTCTTACAGACCCAATCTGACAACCATCGCTGCACTAATCGGCATTGCCACTTGAATTGTCACTCCACATCCTACACCTTTGCTGCAAAGAGGTCCTCATCCCTGATTTATATAATGGGTAAAATGTCACACAATGTCATGATGCATTTACACTGTCTGTCCCCCTGATAAAAATAATCCTGGATATCAAGGTTTAGTTCAGCGTTTAGACTCAACATAACGACAACATTTTCCTTTTTTTTTTTTAAACAAACTGCTGGTTATTCTGGTAGATATATAATGAGCTTCAAAGGGGTGAATATTTAACTATATTTATTCTAAGAATGGGACTGTGAACTCGACTTTCCAGATTAAAGAAATGTTGAGAACCTCTTCAACTCTTGATTAAATATCATTTTGGGAAAAGGCTTTTTCTGGTCAAGCATGACTGTTTCTCAGTGCAAAAGGCAAGATCCATAAAGACATGCTTGGATGGTTTTAATGTGGAAGAACTTGAAAGCCCTGAGTCTCAACCCCATCAAATAAATACATATGGAATTTACTACAACACTGAATGTGAGCCAGGCTCTTGTGTCGATCATCAGTGACATCTGACCTGAGAAATACTCATTTTGCCAGATGTTTTAGATAGATATTTTCACTGAACTGAAACGTACAGTCTATCTGACCATAGGAGAAATCCATATCCGTTTTTGTTTGGTTGGTACAATGGCCAAGTGTTGTCATACTTTGATCATTACCATTTGATTCACTCCACCCAGAGCCATATTTATTGAAATTAATCAGGGGTACTGGGATGAACCTCACTCAGATTCATACAATCTGTTCCAAGTGGTTGGTCCAGGCAGTAATTTTCCTGTTGAACAAACACACATGGCCCTCTTATTCCATCCAAATCCACTCAGTCCAACGGAAAGGAGTACTTCTCGACTACCCACACAAACACATTGTCCTCCATTCAAAATGGAACTGTACTTTTTTACAGTTTGTCATACTGTATTTTGAATTTATCCTTGACCTAGACTGCATTCGCTTCTTTTGATACAATACATTCCAAAAATTATGACAAAAAAAAAAAAAAGTATACCATCTCCGATGAACAAGATTATATTTTTGGCCTGGTGCTCCCGAGGGCGGAGTTTCAACGCAGCATCCAGTGTCGACTTGGCCTGGGCATCCCAGTAGGCTGGTTCTCTTTCATGTTCGTACAGGACTGTGAAGATGACCAAGAATATGATACGTGCTTGTATTAATCATGCTAATGGATAGTAACACAATGTCAGAAGGTTTTGCTTTTCCTGTCTAGTCTAGTTTACTATTTAACGCATCGAATGGCCGAGCTATATTTAACCGACCCACCTCCAATTTGAACACAATTAAACTAAAACAATCATGAAGCCACAATATTTTCTGTCCATTAAGAGACACGGGTACCAAACAGAAATACAAACAGTTAACATCCCTCCACTGTCCATAAATTGGTAGACGAGGGGAAAAATGTGCTCCACACCACTTTTATCCATGTGCAGGATTGCTGACTTCTCTCTCTGCTTACACACCTGAGTTTGTGGATTCCGCTCTGAGGGACAGTCTGTCCTCGCACACATTAACATGTTGAGTATACCTGCATCTGCACACACAGTGCTAGAAATAGCCTAACCACAGGGACCACTCGTATTCATGTTGACTGCTCACCTTGGCTTTCCACAGCAGCCCAATCTTCTGCCAGCAACACAGTTCCCAGAAGAATGAGTGGGAGATTCCGGAGCCAGCGATGTGGCGTCTGCATCCCTGGTGTGATGTGACCTGGAGGCTGAAGATGCTGGACACAACCGGTTTTCGGAAGAAAACACCAAAACCAAAACGGCAGAAGTGCATGGAGAGTGAGACCTGGCTTTTTAAAGCCCCGCTGGGTGTGTAGTAAGGAAGGGCCCTCACCAGCTCATAGGCTTGGACAGAATGTGAGAGAGGGAGGAACCTGAGAGAGAGAGAGAGAGAGAGAGAGAGAGAGAGAGAGAGAGAGAGAGAGCGGGAGACAGAGAGAAAGGGGGAAAGAGAGTGGAGTGGGGGGGGGGCGGGGGGCAAGAGCTAGAGACCACACAGGAGTAATGTAGCATCACAGCCCCTCTCTGCCCACTTTTTATTGTTTTAAAGGGGTTACTTTAATGCAGTCCTCCCCTTTTCCCCCCCTCGCGAGTGATAGAAACTTGAATGGGCCCTTGATGTGGTAAATGTCTACCAGCAGCATGCGGCCCGGTTGAATATGGGAGAAAAATGAGTAGGAGGGAAAACTGCTACACTATTTTTCTTGGCATCCAGCACATGACAAATCATAACCATTTTTCTTTCCATTTCTACCCCCTTCCCTTTGAAAAGAAAGCTCATGCTATTCTTGTGCCTGATTGGCTCTTGATGTGCTCTGTTTCATATGAGTGGAAAATGGTTGCATTTCCATTTCCACCTCCGTTCTTTAGCTTTGCATTTAAAACAGGCCAATATTTCCCCTCTCACCAAATCAACTTGGCTTTTTTCCCCCCGTGTTTAACATTTTTCTGCTGTGAGTTAGCAGAGTGCCGGCAGGATGGAAATGCTTCTCTCCTGCGCAAGCACAAGAGCTAACGTGTGAAATGAGGTGATTTGAGCCGACTCTTGTTCAACACGGCCAGAGGAATCACATTTCAGGCGAGCGACTCTCACCTCGTGAACCTCATTACAGCATCTCTCCTTTCTGCCAGCCGCTCAACCGTTGCCAACAAGGCTTTATGGTTAGTCAAGTGCTTAATCAAAACTGCGGTTAAACTGTACTGTAGAGCTGCGTTCTGGTTGAAGAAGCCAACGCCGTATGAACTGGGAACACCACTGGCGACATGCATCAACATGATACAGTAACTTGTAAAGGCATGCTCCTCTGTCCATTCGTCATGGTTTGGCCCTTGAGAGAAAGTCCAAATCGTCAGTGTAAATAGCTGTGGGCTGTTTTTGCTGTGGCTCATCCATCCAGGCAAATGTGCATACAACCACTTATTATAGCAGCTGTCAGGACTTGTAGTGTGGCAGTAAACGCAGAAATTTTTTTTTTTTTTGTGGTGCTTTTCTAGCATCCAAAACATAATAATGTGATTTCTTTGTTTTGATCTCAAACAGATCCACCCGGACAAACAACCATTTACACTCTCATTTTTACCCAGGGTCTCACCTATAGGCTATTAAAAGTCTTCCGTTAAGCTGATAACATTTTTTTTTAGAATTTGGGAAGCAGCTGGAGCACCCAGAGAAAAACCAAGCACGGGGCATGCAAGCATGCAAACAGCATACTAAAAGCTGTCTTTCGAACCTAGAGTCTTTGACTCAGAGGGAGATATGTTAACCCAGTGATTGCTAGCCAAGGTGCTGTGACATACTCGTGTGCCGGGAGAGATCAGCAGGGCTCCCATTTCACTTAATTTGTCCAAACGTTTTCATAACAAATGTATTTTTGTTCATTTATGCCAGCAGTGTATATAGTTAACCTGTTGCTCTTAATACATTAGGTTCCACTCTAAGTCATGTCTCTTGTATTGAGAATACATTTCATATGAGGTGTTGGTGGTTCAGGGCGGCGCGGTGGGTGACTAGTTAGTATGTCTGCCTCACAGTGCAGAGGTGTATCATTCCAGTGTCAAGTTGTGCATGTTCTCTCCGTGCCTGTGTAGGTTTTCTCCGGGTACTTCAGTTTCCTCCTACATTCCAAAAGCATGCATGGCAGCCTAATGGAACACTCTAAATTGTCCATACGTATGATTGTGAGTGTGAATAGTTGTTTGTCTATGCGTGCCCTACCATTGGCTGACAACCAGCACACCCACGACCCTTGTGAGTATAAACAGATTAGAAAACGAATGGATGGATGGATGGATGGATAAAATTTGTCATACACCGGATATTTAGCAGGCATGGATGAAGTGCCTTGATTAACACTCTCCCATGGTGTGCCACGATAGAATTTAGGAACACTCTTGCAGCACAGCTGATACTATTTAGCTTTTGCATGTAGTGTAATGACGTGTAGTGCAGTGACGAGAGAGGTAAAGTGGGAATCATGCCACAGCTGTTCACGGCACTCCTCTCTAATGCTTTTACTTTTTCCTTTGCTGTTTTTGTACTATTTCCTAGCTTGTTTGTACACCAATTACTTCTCTGAATGTTTGCTATGCCCATCAGGACCTTGAAGATACTGTATGGGCGACCAGCACTGGATACCCTTTTGGGAGCCAGACACCCAAGATACAAAGTCTCCAATGCAAGATCTGTGACACATAAAACAAAATTCCAAGTCATCTGTATTACGCACCAGAGATCTTGTGTTGGAGGGACTACAACTCAGTGGAAATTGTTCGTGACCACTTTTCCATTTGTACGGATCACAGAAACGTGTCTTAACCTGAACACGTGTGATGCAAGTATGCAGTTAGCCGACCCCTTAGCCTGAACAGTGAGAGGGATACATAATTGTTATATTTCCTACACCTGTTCAATCTAATTTTGAATGTAAATACCCTCACATTAAAACTGAGCGTTTGCAGTTAAAGCACATCTTGGTTTGTTTGGCCTTTCCTTTCCAGGTACATGAAAAAAAAAACTAAAAAAAAACCCCATAATTCTTAAAACAACACAATATTTTTCAATTGTAATGTTGATGAATAATATTTTTAATGCATAATTTGATGCGTCTTGCAAAATTCAGGTGAACTTGATGGAATAGGTCTGCCTTGCCGTTAAAAAGTTAAATTCCTCTGCACTCTTGCAACAAGACCATCCATCTTGTCCACTTCAGAATACCAAATTGATTTCTTCTTCCTTAGAGAGTAACCCTCTTCATTTTGGGGAAGGAAAAATAATAATGGGTTTCTGAGGAGTTAAAGTAGGAAAAAGGAGTGATGACATAAACAAGGACATGTACTTTACAAAGGAGGGTGTTTGAAGGTAAACACATACTAATATGTTAAATGTTAGCTTGAAAAGTGGGCTTATGCAGCAAAATAAACCCCAAAAAAAGAAAAGCACATTTGAATTAAGGATTGAACTGCGACAGAAAAAAGGAGAATTTTAATCAACACACACATCCATGCTGTATTTTACTATCTCATATTCTTCCACTCCTTCCCTCACTACAAAGCTCCCTGCTTAGCCTCGATCCCCTCCACATCAAAGCCCCTCATTACGGACCTTTCACATTTACAGAAAAACTCTGGAAGGAATGAGGAAGCCTGGAGGGAAACAAGTAGGTGGCGATTCTTTGGGGGAATGTAGAGGAACTGCACTTTTCCTATATACAGTACTGTATAAAAAAGTCTACATAGCATTGTTCACGTGCCAGGTTTTTGTGATCGAAAAAAAAATGAGCCCAAGACAAAATCACTCTCCCAGCATTTATGTGACCTCTATGTGTTGCAGCTCACCCGTTTTGGGGGGTTTACGTCACGTGACATTCGTAATTCCATCTGATGGGCACTTTGATATCAATTTCAGGCAACAGCAGCATTAATCTGCCCAACTTTTATTACGCAAGTGCAATATTAATCAGAAAAAAAAGATAGATAGATACAATATATAGAACATGTTGCAAATATATATATTTTTAATTGACTTCTACTTTGACATGCAGCTCCAGTTACTAAAGGCTCTGGAAGGGGGAGGTGGTGGGGGGGTGCTGCCTGAGTTGACCACACGTCTGCAACATCATGTATACATTGGGAACTGTGCCTCTGGGGTTCGCAGACCATGGTAGCGGCCCCCCCTTTTTAAGAAGAGGAGCCGGTGTGTTCTAACTACAGGGGGATCACACTCCACAGCCTCCCTCCATAAGACCTATCCGGGCTACTGGAGAGGTGTCATGGTTCTAGTTCACCCTGCTCCTCCTTCCTGCCTGCTTTTTGGCGTCCTCCACCACCACATTTCGTGACCAGAAGAGTGTCAAACATATAAAAATAAAAGCAACGCACATCTTAAGTTTTATTTTCTACTTTATAAAGACAGTTCACCCTTTATAAAGATGTGACCCATGGGCCGTAGGTTGCCCAGGTCTGCCTTAAGACCTATGATGAGGAAAACTGTGAAATAATGAACATGATGACTGAAGCGATTTAGAAAATTGACTTTTTTTTTAAATCTCAGTCTGAGTCCAAATAAACGAAAGCCAAGTGAAACAATGTTAATAAATCAAGATGTCCAATCATTTGTCGGGGGTAAATTTGGACTCCCGTGTCAGTTCGACAGGGCTTGTGTTTACTCTACTGAATCCACGCCAAAGCGAGTTTCCTTTTCCTGCATGGCCACCCAGTCTTGAGAATCCTGGTTGTGGGAGGAAAATTTTGTTAAATGGTCAGGAGACTGCACCCTCTGGCGCTTGAGGTCAGACATAGGTTTATTTACACGGTGGAGCCTCGCTGAAGCCTGGTGGGCCTAGGTCCAAAAACATCCTCCACCATGTCCACGGTGTGCGCCTGGTGCTGAACTGTGAGATGATTTCAGTCAAGATTAAGGTCACAAACTATCTCGTAGCTTGTCAATAAAGCAGCAACCGAACAAATATCCAGTGCATATACAGTACGATACTTTTTGAGCTACACGAGACCACCCGTGTTTTGTGTTGTACTGTAGTGCTATCTACATAGAACTGGGATTTATCATCAGGGGCCTTGCTTAGAGCACACAGATCATTTGTTTGCTTTTGCGGAGGAACAAGAGGAATTTGTGGGTTAAATTCCCATATACAAGTTTGACATCTTGGTAAGCACTTGACGTGCATCTTTGCAGCAAACCGCAATGGCAGCAGCCCTTAAAAGCAAGTGTCATTTAATATTCTATTCTTGGCAATAGCCTGCAAAGAAACACTTTGAAAATCTCTTTGTTGGTTCTTCCCAAAACTAAATTCTGCTATATGTCTGTGCATTGCCTTTAACCCTAGCATCTACCACTCTACCATTACTACAAATTTGTATTTTGAGTACAGGTTATATTGGTTCCACAATAATGACATCAAAAAAAAAAAAAACAAAAACGTATATGTGCCCCCTTTTTTTAACATTGACAACCTGCCCCTCCAAAGGTATGATCGTAGCGACATATTCTCCCATGTACTTAAGTTCATAAAGGCTGTGCACTTTTTGGGTTCCACAGACTTAATTGTGACACCGAAGCACTATCATGGAATGTACACACTCTTAGGCTAGCAACCTTTAAAGGAGGGCGTGCCCTGTCAAATTTCACCTAGTCTCCATTCTCTCAAAGACATCAGCGCCTTTCATCTTTTTGTGAGATCACGTGTGTTCATGCGAGAGCTCTGCCCTGGAGGACTGGTTTCTAGACTGGAAGTGGAACAGAATCTTCTTAGGTATGGTGTCCTGTGTCAAGAATACTGGGGCAGACCACACCCACAATAATACAGAAACTACTAAATGCCTGATTTTCTTTTTTTATGTGTGGGGTCTGTCACAGATAATTAATAAATAAATAATCTGTCTGTGTGTACCATTTCTTAGGGAGCTCATTCAGCAGTACTCTAACCTATTAGGGACAAACGCATGGACATGGATAAGGCTCTCTCAATCAGATTTGAAAACAAGTCCTCTGATTTTGCCATATTTTGAGATGATAAAAGGTTGGTGATGTTACCAAAATAATGTGGATGTTAAAATTCAGGTCTGAGTCCAATATTACTCCTAAGGTTTGTAACTTTATTCTAAAGTTTTCAAGAGTGAGTTTCAAGGTGAATGCATGGCACGTTCTCATTTGGTTTGAGATGGTTGCCAATTTCAACGAAGTACGTCCTGTCCTCAAGATAGGATAGTGTAGTGGTTTAGTGATGATGTGGGTGTGAATGGATGTTTGTCTCTATATGTGCCCTGCGACTGACTGGCGACCAGTTCAGGGAGTAGTCTGCCCGAAGTCAGCAAGGATAGGCTGCAGCGCCGTCCGCAACCATATTCAGAATAAGCGGTGTTGAAAATGGATGGTTGAATTGCAATTATATCTGTCAAAGTAGGCCGGAGTTGTCACACGTTCAAACACACACACACAACTGTCAGTTGCGCTTAATTTTAACCGATGACATTGCAATGAAGCTGAGACAAGCATGAAAGGAAAGAAGCGACAGTAAGACACGACGGAATGTCTTATCATTGGCAGAGATGTCAACACTTCTCTGAACAAGTCTGTCTGCAGCTGCTAATTCATATTTATGAGCGCATCATTTTTAGGGCTCTACACTTTAGCGAGGGGATGCTATTTCAAAGAATGAGCATGAAAGAAACCGTTCGTGTTGAGAAAAAGTTCTTCATTCCATGTCCTAGTTTAGTCAGTATGAGTAAGATGCTAGTTTTAAACCTGAGCTCTGACTGATATGTCCAGGAAAAAAAAACACAGAGTTATTGTGGATTAAGCTCCATTTTGAGTTTGTGGTTGGACCTCATGTAACTTAGGTTGGTTGGTTTTATATTTTGGCTTTATGATGCAATCAAAATGTGTATGTGTGCGTGTGTGCGTGTGTGTGTGGTGGTGGGGCAGCTTGTTCTGACATTTTCCATTTGTCAGTGTGACTCTTCCTGGTTGCCTTCAATTAACCTCTTTGGAAACCACAACAGACTAAACTGGAAAAGCAATCGGGTATAAAGGGCAAATATTATTTCTGAAAACATAATGTATGAAAATGCACTAAAGTACTACACACCAAAATAGAGACTCTAAAATATTGAAACAGAGCCGTTTCTAGTATAAGGGGGAGAACGTGACGCTGTCAGAGAGTGTTCTACCCATGTGCCACTGAGACACTGCAGCCTATTTGAAAGCCCAAATGATTGGAAACAGTAAGGTATAAATCTAAAACACATTTTGTGGTATGTATTTTTTAAACATTTTGATCACAACAGTTCCACATTCTCAAAGCACCCATTTCACACAGATCCTGCGTAAAAATTGTTTATCCAGATGGCTTTGTGGCCTACTGTCTTAAAGTGGAAAAGAGTCCATTTTAATAGTACTTTATATCCACCACCTGGATCCAGGGCAAGAAAGACATAAGTAGAGGGGTTGTTGCCCCCCAACGAGACTCTGAGTAAAATGTGGTTTTAATAAAAATACACATTTCTATAAGTAGTCTATGACTTTAAATTGAAGCAATGCCATGAAAAGATATTTTATTTAAAAATCCATAAACAACTGGGCTGGAGTCATTTTAACTTACCTCTACATCAGGTGTCAACTTTTTTTCAAACTGAGAACTACTTTCTAAATGGTAAATGGGCTGTCACTCACATCGTACTTTTCAACCTTTGTTACTCAAAGCACTTTACACAGTTTCCGCATTTACTTACTGATGACGCAGCACAAGAAGCAAGTTCAGTGTCTTGCTCAAGGACACTTCGACAAGGTTGCAATGGACAGGGATTGACCGCCCTAACCTCTGGGTTAACCTCCCCACTCTACCACTCAACCACTGAACCCCAAACCCCCAAACTTCTTGGTTATGGATTAATGCAAATGGCTACCAGTTTGCACACTTCTGAAATAAATGCTGAAATTACCTTTAATAATGTTTCTATATGGTATTGAGTTACGAGAAGACACTGATCATGGTAATGATTTTTTACATTAGGAAGCACGTCAAGGTTAAGACTCAATACTATTACTGTACTTTGAAAGTGCTCTATAAATACAGTTGAGTTGAGTTTTAAAAATCACTGACAGTGTTTACATTTTCAAATGGTACATTCTACAACATTCATAGAAAATCACATATGTCCCATCACTGTTCAGTGTTGAGCTATATTTTGAAGAGGCCTAAGGTCGACTCATGTGGTCCTGAAGGGCTATGGCACCCACGGGCACCAGGCTGGTGATCCCTGCTCGACACAATATATTCTGAGTACACAAGTCACAATTACACATTGTTACTCACATCTGGGTCTGCTTAATATGTTAGTGACACAGGTCTCATTCATGAAAACCAGGTTTAATGGACCGCCGCTGCAAGGGAATGAGGGAAAAAACATATTTGCTGATCTGATCCCCAAATTGGAAAATCTGTACCCCCAGTTGACTCAACTGTACCCTCCAGCAAAACTTGATTAGAAAGTGCTGAAAGTGCGCCACTCAGTGGTAAGAAATAGCGCTTGGCGTTTTGCTTTCCAGCTTCTGCTTTCTCGGAACAATCGTATTCCTAGAAGATTTTATTTGTACGATTCATGATGTGATCAGCAATACAGTGGCATGCTGTACAATTAATGCTAAATATGAAATATGAAAAACAGAAATTGAGTTGGCAACAACAAGAATGTTTTCCGTGCTCATCCAGACGTTTTTTACATTATATTTCTAATTTTATTCATATATTATTTATCATCATTACATTCATTCATTCATTTTCCTCGCCCAGGGAGGAAGTAAGGGAAACACTAAGTGGGAAGGAACAAATTATAATCCGGAACTACTAACTCCAGCCGGTTGTATTTTGGGTGAGAACCCTGACTATTCGTGTGGTCGTTTTCGCGCTTTCGCAATTAAATCGGCTTCGTCAACACAACGACCATGGCGGCTCCGGGTACGCATCAGTGTAGTGACTTTATGTTTCTAAGTATCCATATTGTTACATTACACTGCGGAAGTGGGTTACCCTTCCGCGGAGTTGCTGACTTTTACGAGCCGAAACATCGACTGAAGTGCTGTAGTGAAGCTATTGAAACCCTCCTCTTGTATTTTTCATATTTATCGGGTCCATTTTATAATAATAATAGTAATATTTTATTTTAAATTTGTTTTGCGTCCCCGATGCACAGTATTGTTTGAAACACGCTGAGATCATCCTATCCTTTTTCATTAAACAGGTCCGAATAAGGACAACATCAGAGCTGGATGCAAGAAATGCGGATATCGTAAGTACATTTGAACTAAAGTTACACAGTCACTACAGGATGTGTTCAGCCCAGTCTATCTGGGATTTAAGTCAAGAGAGCCCAAACAAAGCCTTTGTTTCAACCCGGAAATTATCCATGTTTTATTTTCTTTGCCTACAGTTGTTGTTGTGCAAAACATACTCGTGCTGTTTTTTTAAACTTGTTTGTTTGTGCAGTTATTGTCCAATCATTCTGTCTTATGTTTGTTTGTTTCAGCGGGCCATTTGACTTTTGAGTGCAGAAACTTTGTGAGAGTTGACCCCCAAAAAGACATTGTTCTGGATGTAAGTAGCACCAGCACTGAGGAGAGTGAAGAAGAAGTCCTGGGTCGAAGTGGGCAAGGTCGTCGAGGTAAGACATCATATTAAAAAGAACATCATAACACCAAACAACATCTGGTCTAGTAAACATGGTAATGATTGAGTGGTTATATTGTTGGTTGCTTTTGTGTCATTTTATATTCCAGGAAGTCAGGATAACATACACCTCACACATTTGCTCCAAATAACATGGTGCATTCAGGGTGCATTTACAACGCAGGAATTTGAAAACACTTGGCACCATTCGCCCCATTAATTGTTTTTCTTTGATTACAGTTTTTTTTTTTTTTTTTTTTAATCATGAAAACCCAAATCACATTTACATTTAAATTAATTGCCCAGCTCTGGCCCCTGAAATGGCAGACGTTTCACCAAACTGAAATAATTAATAGAACTATTTTAACATTCATCTGCATTCTTTTCTCGTAGTCTTGCCATTTCACTTCGAGTAATTGTAGCCTGTAACACAAAACGTTTCAGTTATGTACCGTATGCAAAAGGAATAGAAAATAGACAAAGAAGAAAAAAAGAAGTAGAATTTGGTTGTTACACAAGTCAGAATATGATTATTGCTACCTTTGTGCGTGAAATTAATAAAAAGAAGTGACTAAAAAGAAATACGAGACTGGTCCTTGCGACTTGAAAATACCACTATAAAATACAACGGTGACAGGACACCTGCAGTGCTACTTGACATAATTGCTTACTACGGTACTTTTATTCACCGCCACACGTTGCCCGCAGGCCTTCTTCCTTTGCAGGGCTTCGTGATGGCATAGCTCGGACTGAGCCGAACAGTGTTCAATCGGCGCTGGGGCTGGAGAAAGACGCCGCTTGCTGCACTGCATGTGGGTTGCTGTCTCAGTCGACAGTTGGCGAATAAAGGATTGTCATTCATGTTGGCTAACAAAGTGTTGTCATCCGTGTTTACCTTAAAATACCAGTACCTGCACACGGCTAATAAGGCTGCATCTGCCCGGAGGGTACATGTCAGGCTGATCAAGTGGTATCGGGGTTGTAGTATTCATCCAAGTCAGAACAGGAGTACAAACTTAACAGTATTGGCACCGATGCTGGTAACAGGGATTGGTGCATCCCTGCAAGATTAATGATGGTGCTTCTGACTGACTTTGCATGTGTCAGACTCTTCAGATGGTGACCACAGAAAAGAGAAGCACAAGCAGAAGAAGAACAAAGAAAGAAAATCAAGAAAAAGGTATGTTATTTCAATTGAGTGGTGAACAACAATTGGTCATTTTACATGGTGATTTCCCAAAATTGCTCATTGATAATGTTTCCCCGAAATATGGAGGGGTGTGGCATAGGCCATCCAGATAAAGATTATTCTGCAGTTTTTTTTAAATGTGTTTGTTTTTAGTGCAAAAATGTCACTGAAGGCAGGGATCATGGCTTCTTTTTGTTCCATTCCAGTCAAACTTTTTGTGGCAGCATTACTGCCACTTACAGAACCGGAGTGCAATATATTTGTAAAATTGTGGAAACTATATGTAACAATAACAACAATAGACTGACATTTAGTTGTTTTTTTTGTTTGTTTTGTTTTGGGTTTTTTTTTAAGTTTTATATCAAAGAACTAAAGAAATGACTCTTCTTGTACACTACTTATTTTCTCTTACATATAATAACTTAATAGGTGCTTGACATATTAGGGAAAAATCAATGGCATAACTATTTTGACTTTTCCGAAGTCTGCGTTTCATTGAATTCTCTTGTTTTCTTCTTAGATATTCTTCACCATCAAGTGATGAAGAAGCTACCAGGAAGAAAAAGAAACGTAGCAGGTCTCTTTCCGCGTCTGATGATGAAGAGCGACAGAAGAAAAAGAAACTGAAAAGCCACAAGAAGAAAAGTAAGAAGAACAAACGGGATCATGGGAAGCATAAAAAGAGACACCGGAAGAAGAAGCAGGAAAGCTCCTCTTCCTCCTCCAGCTCGAGTGAATCAGACAGTGACTGAACTATGTTCAGGGGTCCTATTTTTATTATGGTTTTTTCCATTCCATTAAATTTTGTTGACATAACTCAAAGGGGGAATTGGTAAAATGAAATGTGGGAAGAAAAAAGGGGGAGAGCTACACAAGAAGAACTGGTGGCCGTTTTACAGTTTTAATCATGGAAATGTTTTGGGTTATTTAGAAAAGATGTAAGCCATAAAAGGATCTGCAGAAAAGTTGGACGCAATGCCCCTCAATTAACTTGAACAGTAGCTTTTTTTTCCCCAAACTATCAAACAAGGTTATCCGATGGTCGAGATCATATGTTTGACGTTTCTTGACTATACCTCACATCAATACTCGATAATCAAGCAACGTTTTTACTTATTTGTCAGTGTAACCAGTTGTTTAATAGTTTATCTCAAATGGACCGTCATTTGGATATTTGTGATAATTATTGCCAGTGTTGCTGTGTTAAGTCATTGAAGTGGGAAAACCAAATATACACACATTCCTGCTTTTTGAGCATTATCAAGATAATGGGAAGGGTCTCAGTGTTTGAATCTGAATATTGTTCACATTTTATGGACAAAAATTACACTTCATTTAAAATCAGCTATTCTGAATCCCCACTAAGTGATCATTTATACAGCCTTTTTACTAAAAAAAATCAGTACCTTAATAACAATACAATATACTGTATTGCACAAAGGAACAATTTGGGCGGTAGATGGCAGCAACATGCAATTATGCAGTCTTCACCCGTCGCACATTGCCGATGTGCGAGGCCTCATTTGAATAGTTTCTGTGGCTCATAGTGTGCAACACAGTAAACCCATAAAAACAGGATTTTCTGGGTCACTGTCATGACACTGCTCCCGATTTTTTCAAGGAGGGTTCTCGAACATGCTTCTCAAGAGTGTATTTTACACAACACGTGTACTGTACTTTTATAAGGTGTTTAGGGAGCCTTGAGGGGAAAATTAAGTGTAGCAGTCCGCCTAGTGGTCACGTTTAGAACAGCATTTGCTGGCACACCTCGTTTAAATCTTCATTCAAACTGCATTCAAATAAAGGAAGACCCACTTGTTTGGTAAAATGTGCATTAAGTCCATCATCCATTTGTTGTTCAAGCCCATGTTGTTGATTGAGAATACTTGATGGCCGAGGCACGCGTGTCAAACATCAATCTTAATTTCTTTTAGTTCTTATAATATATATATAATTCTTTTGTATATACTTTTGATCTTCTACTTCTCCCTTTCATAATTTTGCTGCTGTAAATTGGGAATTTCTCCATTGTGACACAAATAAAGGTTTTCTTAGCTTATCGCATTAAATGTTACAAGTGGGAGTGATGTGATAAGCACGTGCATATCAAGTGCACACGGAGCTCAAGCCAATATGTACACTGTGTTCAAGGAACAGATATGCATAAAGCCATAAAGTTTTGGTTTACGACAGTTTGAACACATTTACACTCACCGCCCATGAATCAATTTAAAGGGCTGTTGAATAAACACTTTACTGTGACGATCTCTTGGCAAGGAACCCAAAAACGGTCACCAATACTGTTAGCTCAAAATTTCAGAAGAACCTGCAAAGGCTTTTTAAAAATCGTAAAAGCTGTGGCACTTAAAATTACCTATTAGGAAAAAATAATGGTAACAGAATGTCGTCTTTTTTTTTCTTCAATGTCCGTTCAGTCTCAGTTAAGGTCTACCGTGTGAACATTTGCACCAAAAGATATTGGTACTGCTTCCAGTTTTGTATCGGATGCATTATTGGATCGAGACTCTTGTGGGTATGGTGTCCATAAATTTGCTGCTGAGCAATTTGAAAACATACAATCATATTGGAATCTGCACCTTATGTTAATGCATCCACTATTCAGTCGTTGAGGTCAGCCATTTGCCAAAAAAAAACAACAACTCAAAACAAACAAAAAAAACCCCATTAGGTCTCAGTTTGACATGAATGCACCAAAGATGTTTGCATGGAGACTCAATCACTGCACTGCTGCAGTTAAATTCTCTTCAAAGGGACTTTGAAAATCTCATTTTCATGCAAATGGCTCCATGGAGTCACATTTGCTCTCTGCTTTCCCGTGTAGCCCAAAAGGCTCAATAAAAGCCAATGGGCTGAGGGGAACTAGTTGTTGTTGCACAAACAGCATATGTTTTGCTCAGTGTGGCTGCACATAGGCACTTCTACTTTGGCTTCATTTCATGTTCTCCCACCATCTGGGCCATTATGAAGTTTCCAACTTCACAGAGTTGGTGTCATGAATATTTGAAACAAATAAGTATGTAAAATACTCAATGAATTAGTACCGCAGTCACAGATTCATGTGACACTTAACATATGGAAGGCCTTGTGCACGCAAAGATTTTTCAAATCTCAACTGATTTTCAAAATGGTGCAAAAGACAAAGACATTTTAGAATTGAGATCCAACGGATATACAAAGGAACAAATACTACAAACTTTTGGTACACACCTTTACCTGATGCTGCATGGACAGTGTATAAAGTCAAAATTCATCCATCCATCCATCCATTTTAAACACCACTTAAATCCATCCATCCATCCATCCATCCATTTTAAACACCACTTATCCTGGGCAGGGTTGCGGGGAGGGTGCTGGAGCCTATCCCAGCTGAGTTCGGACGAAAGGCTGAATATACCCTGATCTGGTCGCCAGTCAGTCGCAGGGCACAAACGACCAGTTCTATCCTCAAGTCAGAATTCATGACAAAATTAAATAAAAAATACGCATATTGCCAGGGCAGGTACAGCAACAGACCATCAGAATTGTTTGGACTCTTTCTCCTGGCCACATCATACACTTGTAGCCACTTGAGGGTCGCAAAGCAGAATTCATGGATCACTTCATGATCACTTTTTACGAAGCTTATTTGGATCACTCACTTGAATCACTTTCCTATTGAAATTGCACACCTTGTCCCAATAATTGATGTTTTACCTGTGAACCTCCAAGACACAGAAAAGCATAATCCAAATATTGGATGCACTTTGATGTTGAGCAGCTCACTTGTGTGCCTGCGCGCACTACTGAAATCTTGTTTCAAAGGTGTCCTTGAGGATAAGTGCCTGTTGGAGACGATACATTTGCCACTAATTTAGGTTCTACAGCTTAGATTTCATTTCGATCTTCCTGTTCTGGCCCTTAAAAACACAGAAAAAGTGGTGAATAACCTCTAGGACACAGGTGTCAAACACAAGGACCGGGGGGCCAGATCCGGACCGTCACATCATTGTATGTGGCCCGCGGATGCAAATCAAGCATGTCAACTTGCATGATGCTTGCTAAAATCTCGACTAAAATTTGAAATTCTCATATGTAATAAATAAGAGACATATTGTAAGCATTTTCTTGTTACCAAACCCCTCATTACAGTAACAAATAATACATTGTTATTATTGACTTTTTTGTTTTGTTTCAGTCATAATGGCCCTCCAAAGGAAACGGTCACTAAAATATGGCCCACGACAAAAATGAGTTTGACACCCCTGCTCTAGGATAAATAGACTGTAGTCCATATGTCTCAAGTCATAGAAAAAAAGAGCTTGTAATAAATACCACACAGCTTCACAGGAAGTGTGTTCAACATACTCCCAAAACCCACAAGGAAAGATAATAAGGGGCCAAACGGGGCAAGGGATATTCTTTTGGGTTGTTGGAGTTTTGTTTGAGCCGACCTAGTTCCTACAAGTTTCTCTTTCAGACTGCAGCTTGTTTCTATAATGCGCAATTAAACAAAAACACCCTGACTGGGTGGCTCGCACGGGGGACTTTAAACAGGGTCTTATTGGATCATATTCTGTATGACCGCTAAAGCTAACCTGTGCTGACCTCATTTATTGCAGAGATGAGGAATAAACGTCAGTTGGCCATGATGGAGATCTTTCTTTTGAAATTAGTTTTGTCTTATTTTGATTGTTTTTTTTTGGCGGGGGGGGGTTGCCATATTTTATATACAGTAGTGGCAAATGTAACATTGAGGAGGTGCTGGAAACTAACAGGCTGTCAGAATGTTAAGCACAATCAAATGAGAGCCAATTGAAAAACTCTGTAAAAATATGTATCTTGATGATGATAGGAGCTCCAAAATTACTGACCACAAGAGTGCTCCTCCAAACTGGAGTCTCCTTGATAAGTATAGTCAGTGATCTAAGAGACAGCGGATGTTGTGCTGTATCCAAAGCAGCTTCAAAACGTATTGCTTTCATTTATGACATTCGGCCAAAATCTCGAGCAAGTCCAGAAGCTGGCATTCAGGTGGTGAAGCTTTCTGACAACTTAACTGCGCCAAGAAAAAAAAATGTACCTTCAGCACCACCAAAAACAGTTGCAACTTCTGCTAAAATATTTTTATTACGTTTCCATCATCTGACGGGCTTCGAGGACAAATAGTGTCATGATCTCATCTCGTGACTATTATTTTCTCGGATGCTCTTTCCGCTTATATGTATTATCGAGGAGTTGTGCATTTTTTGTCCAATGAGAGGATTCTGTCCTTTTGTTTGTGAAAATCATCAAGCGGCAAAAGATAGTTGAAACCGAATCAAGTTATTTTTCGTTCGCTGACATCACCATAAGCCTTGTTTCCCTTATTCCCCCAGCCATACCACCCCCTTTTTTTTCTGTTGATGGAAAAAGGTCTTCATATTGCTCATTTTGTCCAAAGAGTGTACCAGCTGGTGGATGGATACAAACCAGGAACCCTCTGATCACAATGACTCTTCTTAGTAACACTTCTTTCTCAGTTGGAGAGTTAAGTGCCTCACTCAAGGCCATCTGATGAGCACACTGCACAAATTTTATCTCAGGATTATTGTCACATAGCTTTACTAAAGTTGTTGTCAACAGTCACACGTTTACAGAATGACCCTAACTTAATCTCATCCATGGTGTGTTTATTTTAGACATTTGTAGTATATAATGAGACTTTTCAGCTCCCAGAGCGGGCTTAACACACATACTGTCTTTTTTTTTTTTTTTTTTTGTCACCGTAATAGCATCAGAAGTGCTCAAGATGTAGCACAGGGTTAGGATTAGGTTACTTACCTTGTTGAAATTGTAGCCAGAATAATATGTGAGTTTGAAGCTGGTTATTATCGGTTCCATAAATATTCAGTACTTCTGGATTAATATTGTAAGAACACATTACTGATGTAAAAAAGTAGTTATGACCACAACACATTTAGAGCACATCACCATCTTTTCTATTCTAGGATCGTATGGTCCAGTTATTCACCTGTTCAATTTTTTTCAGTTACGTGCAAACAAAGGCATTTTACCCTGCATCCTCTTTTCTTTTCCTTTGGGACCACGTATAATATTTTTAATGAAATAGCTTTACAAGCATAGAGAGCAGAGGGAAAAGGCAAATCCCATTGAGGAGTAGGAATAATGTGTAGGTGTGCGTTTAGTGCAATAGTTTACACTTTAAGATAAGTTCGTAAATCACTCCCGCAAGCTTGGCTTTGAATTGTGTACATCAATGCAGTTAATGTTCTGCCAATTAATGGAGAAATTCTAGGCTTTTTTTTTTTTTTTTGTCTAAGGAAAACAACAAAGAGCAGTTTGGTTTGGCACCAATTGTTTCTCATAAAGGAGGCAAATGTTTTATCCTCAGCTTTAGGGACTTCAACCACTCCTTTTAGAAAATAGGATGCACGTAGTCTGCTGTGTATTCTGTGAAGACAGCCTTAGAACCCGCAAATACTTAGCCGCCTCTGTCTGCCGATTGCGCTGCCAATTCTGGAAGTAACACAACTACTGTCCAAAAGGATGTTTTCTGTCTGTTAAATCCAGAGTTCGTTGGGTTCTGGGTCTCTTAAATTAAGGTTCCCCTGTATAGGGTATGACTTAGATTTTCGGCGATTTACAGTACATCAAGCCTTTGCCAACTGAACAGCGATATAAAAATGTCAAAATAGAGAGACCTGAATCTGACTTCGTAAGATCACCTGGTATTTTAGTCTTCAGGAAAAGGAAGCATCGCCCAACACCGATGGTTGATTCTGAAACCATTGGATGGTTCCAACTTGTTTTTGTGGGTCAAAGTGAGAGTGTT